ATCGGCATCCATCCCGTCGACACCATTGTCGACGGGTGATGAGCAAGAACCAGATTGGTTTTATTTTGAGCGAGTCGATCCCCCTTAAGCTACATTCACACTCAGAAGGCGGGTAAACGTGGATGGCGTAGGCCATTCACGAAGAACGGTGTATGCGTTGTCGACGCATGCACCAAGATGTTGATGAAGAATTCCGCCATCGGCAAGAATTTGCTCTAACTCGTAAACGAGTGGACATACCCTCGAAGTATCTCTTCGAGGACGCGGTTGACGCGTTCCGTTTGACCATCTGTTTCTGCATGGTCATCAGAAGTTGACATCGCCAAACGTGTTTCAAGTGAACGGAACAAGGATTGTCAGAACTCGGCTATGAAGCGGGGGTCTCAATCAGACACGAGTTCACGGGGTAAAGCTTGAAGTCGGAAGAAAGTATCGATGAAGACACGAGCACATCCATGGGTGTGATTGACTCCGGTACAGGAACAAGATGTACCATCTTGCTGAACCGATCAACAAACTCAAGAATACTAGTATTCTTGTGAACGTCTTTGGGAAACCCGAAGACGAAGTCCATCGATACGGACTTCCAGCACTCTGCCGGAATTGAAAGAGGGTACAAGGGTGCGCGAAGTTAAGGGCTAGGCTTCAACCGCTGGCAAACTTCGCAAGCGCGAATGTATTTGCGCACAAACTCATACTGGTACGGCCAGTAGAAGTCACGACTCACCATGAGGTAAGTCTTTTCTCTACCGCGATGCCCACTTGTTGGGGCATCGTGACAATCATACATGATGCGTAATTGCAAATCTTCATGAGTGGGAACGACGACACGAGGTGTGTCGTCGTTGACTGCTGTGTAGTACAGCAGTCCATCACGAACCGAAAACCGTTCGGTTGAAGAGCGGTATTGATACGACAAGCTTTTCAAAGCTTGACTGCATGGATTGGATACTTAATCCATCAACCGCATCAGAAACTCATCTTCTGTGTAGGCTTTTCGCACGTCATCGAGCAGATTCGACGACGGAACACTCACTGTTAGTATCGCGACAGTGGGATCACCCCTACTGTTGGGTTGAGCAGTCTGCTCGAAATCGGGCCGACGCGAAAGAGCATCAGCGACGACATTAAGTCTTCCTGGTTTATACTCGACGGAGAAGTTGTACTCCGTGAAGAAAGACAGCCACCTCGCCATTCGTTGCGAGAGGTGTGGACTGTTTACGGCCGTGCGTAACGACGCATGGTCGGTATAAACGATGAAGGTCCTATCTCCTAAGAGATATACCCGAGCCTTAGCCAGTGCATATTTCATGGCAAGGAGTTCCTTGTCATGCACCGGGTAATTACGCTCAGCTGCTTGCAGCTGACGCGATTGGTAAAAGACGACGCGCTCAACGCCATCTGAGTCGTACTGCATTTACGCGCAGTCAATTGCAAAATAGCTGGCGTCACAAACCACATGGAATGGTCTGTCCTGGTCTGCAATCGCCAACACAGGCGATTGCGCCAAGCTTTTCTTGATGCCTTCGAAGTAGTGCTGACACTCAGCACTCCATGACCACCGCTCGTTTTTCTTTAGTAGACGAGAGAGATGTACGGTCATCTCGGCGTGGTTGCGCGAGTACTTTTGCAAGTACACAGCTAAGCTAAGAAACTTTCGAAGTCCCTTGACGTCGACTGGCACATGCCAGTCGCTAGTCGCCTTGATCTTTTACAGATCAGAGCGTACATCGTTTTTACCCACGATGCAGCCAAGAAGTGGTATTTCGTTCACTGCCAAATACACTTCTTGAGGTCCGCGATCAACTTATGCTCTCGCACAAGAGTAAGAACCTTCCGGGTGTGTATTCTATGAACATCCACGTCCTTCCTTCCATCCCCATCCCGGCTATGGACGAAGACATCGTCAAAGTAACCCGTTGCAAAATATCGCACCGATCGCAACAGATTCGTAACACATCTGTTGAACGTTGCAGGGGCGTTAATTAGCCCCTGTGGCATCACTAGCCACTCCTAGAGCATACCACTGGGGGTGCTCACTGCTGTGTACGGGATATCCCGTTCACGCATGAGGATCTTATAGAATCCATCCATCAAATCCATGTAAGAAAAGAAGGTACTTTTTGCCATGTCATCAATGATGACGTCCTTCCTCGGTATCGGCGTTTATGCCGGTGCCGTTGCAGCATTCAATTTGTTGAACGCGTGCACTATCCTCCACCCTCCTGCAGCCTTTCGCACACAGAAGGTCGAAGAGCCGTGTGGGGATGTTAAACCCCTCACATGACCAGCCGCTAAACGATCGGCAAAGAATTCGTCGATCGCTGTGCTCTTCTATCGTGTTTGCTCCACGATCGACTTTCTATTTGTTGATCTCGCTGTAACGTGTTGTTCAATCTGAACAGCACTCATCTCTCTTCTTTGTAGCACCTTCGCGGTGTACATCCGTGTTCCAGTCCACTCGATCTCTTCGAGTGGTGTAATTTCGTCGCAGCCTGTGTCTCTACACAGGTGCTGGAAGCTGGTTCGACAGTGTAGTGGACTTCTACACTGATCTTGTGCAGTCGTACTAACGACCTTACCACAAGTGGGGCAGTCGCACTCAATCGAAGCACATCCACACGCTTGTGGGCGCTCCAGCGCGTTCGTCAGATGGCCATCTGATAAGCAAACGGCAGGTATCTTCACGAATCGATGCTGCCAGCTGATCCATGTCTCTTATCTTCTGAGCCATGGCAGACCGAGGATGACATCAAATTTGTCATCCAAATCCAGTATGTATGATGAAGTCGTCATCGCACTGCCTTCCTTCTACCGTGTACACGTTCGGATTCCCACTACAAGTTTGTTCACTGTTACGGATGCAACTGTAGCAAGGCACACCGTCATCCTCGTTGGAGGAAACTCTCGCTCAACATAGTCGAGCCTACTATCCTCTGGCGACTGGCGTCGAATAAAACTGCTCGACGCCCCACAGTCAACTAGGGCGCGAAGTGACATTCTACTTGTCACTTCGATCTTCAAAGCGATGAGGGACACCTCATCACTAGGTGCAGTAACACATAGTGACTGTGTGTTGCTGCAATCTTCGTCAAGAGTCCTGCAAATTCTCTTGACTATGCTGGATCAGCAGGGTGCTCCGACCCTACTGACCCTGTCCATTTTTTGACGGTCCAACTTGCTGTCGCGGCATAGCTACATGGTCGGACCCACGCCTTGGACCTATCCTTGGCCAACGGTGGTCATCACGTCCTGGCTTCGGACGTGTTGCGGCGCTTGGGACACTACAATCATAAGCGTAGTGTCCAATCTTTGGACAGCGATGGCATCTTGCCGTTCGCTTGTGACTCAGAGAGCGAAATTTCTTGCTCTCGATGTAACAGAGTTCCATTGGTTCTGGACCTCCTGTTTCCTGTCGTCTCGTCGGACGATAGTGTGACAAGTTATCTCGAGACTGTCTCAGGATGAAGTCTTCTCGTTCCGCATACGCTATCGCCTTTTCCAGCGTATGGAAGTCCTCTCGGAACATGTAAGTCTTCACCGGCCCATCTACAAGGCCGTAGATGAACACGTTGATAAGCGTGTGCTCATCAACAGGGTTTTCCGTAACTCTACTCGCAAGGTAGCGGAGGTTTTGTGCGTAAGCGTGCACGTCACGCTTACCTTGATTTAGCCTCAAGAGTGCAGAGCGTGCCCTGAACTCGGCTCTCGGCGGCTCAAACGGCTCTTTGAGCCGAGACTTCAAGATCTCCAGCGACTCAAACACGTTTAGGTCGTGAAGCTTGATCCCTAAGGCCCAAGTCTTTGCTCGTCCTGTCAAATATGACAGGATGAAGGTGACTTGCATCTCGTCACCCTCGATGTGACGGGCCCTGATGGTCGTCTGACTCGACGAACCATCCCAAAAGGGAATCTTCATCGGTTCCCTTGTACCTTGAGATGTCTATCTTCAAGATTTCGGGTCGACGCATGTGCGTCGGCCTGCTCATCGACTGATGAGAGCTTCGCTGTTGTAGCAAGGCTATCTTCTGTCTCTTGACGGCAAGTTCCCCTTGTAGGAACTTGTTGATAGCGGCATGTTGCTGGTCTCTGTTTGGAGACTCCAATATGCCACTGATGCCGGGTTCGCCCATGAGCACACTCATGCGGCCGACTACCTTCCATTCTGAGTCACTCAGATGGGAGTAGCCTTCACGTGTGACGCGAAAGCTGTGGTCTTCTACGTCCGACATGTTCATGTTGGACGGACACTAAGTAGTCGTTGGACGGACTACGAAGTGCTATCAGGTGTAACGGGCACTATTTGTTTGCGGTGCCGCGAAACTTCACGTACACTAGTACGTGCAAAGGAAGCTAATCTACTCAAACAGCTAGTTTGAGTAAAGGTAAAAAGAGAAATGTATTTAATATAATTAAGCTATCAACATAACTATAATCTTTATCTCACCATCTTAATCTACATTGTCGTATGACGACAACCTGCTTAACGCCCATTACGCGCGTCTAGCAGCGATTGGAGCGCTCTTGGTTGATGTATCGTTTATCAACCAATCTTTAAGCAGCGCAATAATATATTTTTTCCCAAAAGTGGATAATATTCCTTCAATATTATCTATCTCGCATAATATTGGCAGAAGATTGTCATGCTAGACAATCTCCCTATTGACACCGTTTGGTGTCAATCTCATGTAACGGGCTACCCGGTACAGTGATTATATAAGCAAATGTTTGACGCCCATAAGCAAAGATTGATTGCGTCGCTTGAGCATACTGTTCGGGGTTGATACAGACATCAACGGTATCATGTTTCTTCCTTCAGTGACTGCTGCTGTTGTATAGTGTTTTGCATCTTGCTTCAGTTCTTCGAACCGAATAACTCTTATCGAAGGGTGAGCTCCAGAGCTCGCTCCCCTATCTCAAGCTGTGCAACGTACAATTTTATGTTTTAAAGCCACAAATCAGAGGTATTTAGTGGAACTTCTCCACTCGACCGTGTCTAGCTAGTCCTTCGCCGACGACTCCATGTCTTCCACAAGTCGAGAGCCGTGCTTTTTTGTTAAACGCTCTGTCAGCATTTCCTTGAAGTCATTCATGATGGCATTCTCACGTTGCTGTTTCTCTTCAAAATTGATAAGTGCCAGCGCGCGCTTCTCTTCCGCCGTATACACTTGGTTCTCCTTTCGAATACGAACAGCATTCATGCGCTTGTGGCGACTACCACTCATCACGTAGCCCAGATCCTCCAGATTCCCGATTTCTTCGCCATTCCAGCCGACCTCACCACGACGTGGAATGCGCATGTTTTTCTGTACAAACTGAGCTATAGCAGCTCCCTCACCAGGTAACAGCGCCTTACCATAATTCAGCGACGAGGCGGCCGTCTCTTCCGCCGCAGCCAGCGGCTTCGGCCCAATCTCCTCGATCTCGTCTTCTTCCTTGTGTGAGCCTTGGACTGCCTCTCTGAACTTAGTCGTTTCCCTCTTCTCGGTCTCGTCCAAGTCGCTCAGTCTTTCATAACTATCCGCACGGTCTCTTCTCTCAGAAGCTACCGATCTGCCTGAGACACTCCCACTGTGAGTATCGTCGCTCGCGCTCTCGCTATTCGAGCGTCGAACTCTCTTACGACTTCTTTTGCTCTCCTTCTTGTGTTTCTTGCTCTTTTTAGATCCTTTCTTCTTACGAGAGCGACGTGATGACTTAATCTTTCGCTTTCGCTTCCGCTCTCGTCGTCGACGACGGTCGTCTTCACTATCCGAACTTGAAGCGTCCGAGCCACTCGAAGACCTTGAACTAGATCGAGACCTCGAGCTAGATCCGGACCTGGATCCAGAACTAGATCGAGATCGCGATGGAGACGGTGTCTCTTTTCTCCTTCTTGAGCTTCTTCTTAGGCGGGGGACTCGGGATCCCTGCCCAGATACTAAACGCAATGCCCTCTCGCTCCCGCTTCCTCTCCTCAAAAATCCGTCCGCATTGTCATCTCTGTATCTACCGCCTCCTCGGCTCTTGAACCCGCCGCCATCTGAGCTGCTCACTGGTCCGTAGCGACCCATTGGCTCGTTGAATCTGGACGAGCTTTGACGCCCTCGGCGCGGAGAACGAGAACGAGACTGTAAGCGCCGGCTGCTGCTATGACTGCGTCGTCGTCTTGAGTATCGGCGGCCGCTTCGGCTCCGGCTGCGCCGGGACGACGGACTTCGGTACCGCCGACGGGGGCTCGAGCTCCGTCCCATTTGCTCGATTGAAATTGTCGCAAAACAAAACATTTTATTTCATCGCTCTATAAAATAAACACTTTTTATGACTGGCAACGTGTACGCAGTGGGTACATTCCACTTAGCTGATACTTCAGGCCAGCAATACTTGTATTGCGTCAATACGTGAAAGGTACTCCTTGGCAACCCGAGTTGCAAGATTCTTGCGAAGCTGCTTTACTTCTTTGTCACCGCGAACGTCATCTAGAAACGACAGCACAGCCTCGAACTCGTGCTCAATACCTTTGGACATGGCGAGAACGTCTGATCGGGAGATCTGCGGAGCCCTGCACGCTGAATCCTTGGCTTTATTAGCAAGTGATGATACTTGAACTCCTCGCTCTTCATTCTCAAGTCGTTCTAGCTCAGCGTCCGCATCGAACGAGTCCCACTTCGTTTTCAGCTTGTTGCCTCTTGAGTCAAAATGATAATCTACATCGACGCAATCGCATACAACAACGTCACCTACTTGCTTCACGTCCCAACAGCTAAATACTGAACATTTAGTAGTAACAGCGTCAACCTACAGGAGTTCAACGCCGAGGTCGCCGCAGGATTCGCCAACTTCACCTCCGTAGCCTCCCTCGTGGCCTCTTCGTTCACCAATTCATTCGCTCGTGTCTCCAAATGCATCATCCGAACTGCAACCTCTTCGGCTATCAGTTCCACCTTGCGCAACAGCTTAATCGCCTCTCGGCGTTCCTTTCGCGCACTGCATCAAGGTACACCGCACGTCGCCACCAAGAGATCCGTTAGCAGCTACAACGATGACGGGTATCCTATCACTCAAGTACAGCAGCGCTAACGACCAAGATGAACCGCTTATACAAGAGTGTCAAAGACGCACATGTATCGGTGGTATTGCCAATATACAAGCGGCACAGCTGCCGCAGTGGCAGTCGCGACTGTAGCCACTTGCCACGAGCGACTCGACATTGGTGGACCGAATCTGTGTCATTGCGTAAAGTATAATCGGATCTAAGCGGATATATTGCGAATCAAGGCAAAAAAGAGAGAAGGGAAGGAAAGGTGGGGGACCCGCCACGTAAGAAACGAAACGCGTTTCTAAAGCTCAATGGGCAAGAAGACCAACTGGACGACGGCTGAAGACCAGACGTTGTGTCGCGTGTGGCTAAGCGCTAGCGACCTCCAGCTACACGGTGGGGACCAGAAAGCTTCCAATTTCTGGAACGTAGTGCTCGAGTTGTTCCACCAGGAGGTGGAGTCGCCTGTCGAGCGGCCGCTCAATGGGCTCAAAGTGCGCTGGACACGGATCAATCGCGACTCGCAAAAGTTCGCGTCGATCTTTAACGAGCTACAGAGCAAACGAATACAGCAGGCAGAAGAGCGTGGAGAAGACGTGGGAGATAATGCCGCGGGGGTGGCGCTGTTGACAGAGCAGCCGGGGATCGACGATGCCAAGGCTGTTTTCCACCGGATCTACAATACCAAGTTCTCGTTTGAAACGTGCTGGAAACAATTGCGCTACTCTGCCAAGTGGATGCAGCTCTTTGCGAACTCGAGCAGCTATCCACCAGTACTGGGAGTCAACGTTCCACCAGCTGCCCCTTCTGGAGTGACGGAGGAGGCGATTGCTGCCGAGGCGGCAGAAGCGCCATCTGATACGAGCAGTGAAGCGGATGCCACGAAAGAAGAGCAACCTGCTGTAGCGTGTGCTGCTACTGCTGCTGCTGCTGCTTTGTCTCCTGTGCCAAGTGTGCCTGCCTCGGCTTCTCCAGCTGGTGAGACGGTCATGTCTTCGACGACGTCTTCGGTTGCAGCAATAGCTTCAGCTATAGAAGCTTCTCATACGAATGCGTTCATCGACCCTAATCACAAGCGGCGAGCGGACACGTCACTGGAGTCGTTTGCACACATTCCCCACCAGAATCAGCTGCAGCGACTCACGAGCACGTTGGTCGACGAGCTTAAGCGACAGAACGATCTCATGGAAGACCAGAACGCCATTGCGCTGCTCAAAATCAACAACGAGCATATCTTGGACGAGGACACTCGACAGTGTTACCACATGTTACGAGCGCGTTACCTGAAGAAAGCTTGCAATAATAGCAGAACAAGCACGTTAGTATAAGGCTCGTGCTCTCCTGGTATGACTAGTGGGGGGTAAAATGAAACCATGTGCAGGTTTATATTCCCAATTGCTCATTTGTCCGTCCAGTCGCATCTGAAGGTTTTTCATTCGTCAATCCGTTATTTGAGGTCCATGTGGTCAATGGAGACTAGGGTCGCTGGAATGGCAGACGATGTGGCTGCAATTCGACAATACTGGGGATCAGAGCAGGAATACAGCCACAATGAACTGTTTGCAATTGCTCAGAGTCAATGGGAGCGTGAGCATCGCAACGGCGGTGATGCTGCGAGGGAGTTCGTGCTGCAGATCGTGGCGAATCGACTGGAAGAACAGCTTCTGGCGTGGCTGTTACAGTCTCAGGTCGATGATACGATCGAAGATATCCAAAAGTTACTGACTGTTTGCTTGCATCCATACTGTGCGGAGAACGGGTTGGAACTTGTAGAGATGATGCTGGATACGTTGGTGACGGCGGCAGTTGTCCGAGCTGCTGCTTGTGACTGCAGTGCGGAAAACCGGATGCGACAAATTGACGAGATTCGAGACGAGGTGGAAGCAAAATTGCCGACAACAAGTCGGGCTCGTGATGCGTTACGTGCACTGGCGAATCGCGTTGGTAACGGTGACGAGGTAGATATTTGGACCACGTTTTCGGATCTCCCCAATGTGCTGGAAGCTGGACTGTTTAATTCACAAAGTGCTCGAGCATTGATGGATGAAGCAGAACAAGTTATCTTGCTGCAGCAAGCTGAGTTGGAAGCTACACGAGGGTCGAGCGGAGATCGTGCCGGTGTGGAGGCGGGGGAAGGACGACTAATCGCATCGGATATGCTTTGGAATCTCGCAAAGCGGTCAGGGCGGTTGGTTCAATCCAAGGCTGATCAAAGTGGTGTTCACCGTGATTGTCACGCACTTTCGAACACCACAATCGATGTCGTGGAAAATATGGAGGAATTGGAGGCGTATCTAAAAGCAAAACCGAATAAGGGTCAGTCTTGTAGCAGCAACTGTTTCCCCGATCTAGTCTCTAGCGATGAGGATGCGGATCCTTCTGCCATTGGATTACTCTCAGGTGTTCACATTTCATCTGACAAGAAGGAGTTTGTCACTGATGACGTTATTGAAAGGGCTGTCGATGAGCTTTCTGCGATGGAAAATCTTGATGTGATCTCCGTTCAGACGTCGTTTCTTCTAAGTTTGCAAATGCGTCTAAGGTTTCATTTCCTAGATCGATTTGAATCCACAAACGATGAACTTGTGCGACGGATCAGATCTGTATTCAATCGCCTTACGGGCAAGGCTCCCGATTCGAAGCATGTTGCGTCGCTGACTATTCTAGCTGCATTTTGTCCCACGCAAGTCGTTGGACAGTGCATTCTCGGTGCTCGGGCAGGCGTTCTACATCAAAACTTGTATGTACAGGTGCTACGGGCATCGCCCCTGCTCCTGGAATGGATTGACGGTGTTTCAGATGGGTGCGAGACGATGTTTGAGTGCGAGCTTCAGCAGGCTGTGCTTGATGTTTGTAGCGGCCAAAACAATTTCGATCGAGAGAGCCAGAATTTGATTTCGTTTCTTCAATCTGTTGTGGAAATCCCGAAAAGAAGTTCTGTACAACAGAAAGCTTCAGTGATGACGGTCAGTAGGCTTGTCGATAAAGTGATAAATCCTGTTTGCTGTCGCACCAGTGCAAGCGCGCAGATAGAGCTCAATCTATACACACTCGTCCAGCGTTTATTTCAACACTTTGTAACGACCAACGCGTTCGCGGACTCTGATCATGCTGTCTTGCAGAATTCGTTCCAGCTGGTTCTAGGAGTGTTTTGCACTTGTGATGCTATTGACCTGACATTGAGGGTACACGTTCGCGAGAAATTGCTTCTGCTACTGAAGAACATCATGGAGTTGATGCCTGGGGCTGCGTCGATAGCCATGCCGGAGCAGCTGAATACACCGCTCCTTCCGTCGCTGTGGACTCTGTTGCACCTCTTCTATGGCGATATGGTCAATCACAAATTCTGCAATGGCTGGGATGATGTTGTACTCGTCAAAGCGTACATGCAGGCAAAATCAATCGACGATTCACATGCTGCTTTGCCACTACACGTACGGAGTGTGGTTTCTGCAGTCCAAGTATTGCTTTGGGAACTGCTCTGGAATTCGACACTTTTGATAAAGCCGAGTCCGGTGTTTTCCAATGCCGAAACGTGGAGTCTTATGGACGCTATTGCTGGATTTGATTTATTTGAAATCGACTCTGGCGTTTGTGCGATCAAAGGGTCTCTCTTAATCCATCATGCGGTTGGAAACATTGTGCTCGAGTGTGGTGGTGTCGTCTTCGAAGAACTGCTTGGTAGAATTATTCCGCACCTGTTGAAGTATGAGTCAAATGAGCCGAACGCCGCTTTAAAAGACAGTCTTCAGTTACCCAAGTGGGCTATCGAAAAGCTGTTCGAGCGATCAAAAGGTGAGCTGCACATTCCGTGTCAGCTTGTGTCGACTCACTTCGAAATGCGCTACGTTGCAACATGCTGGTATCTCCTGTGTGCAGCTCGAGAGCTAGTTGCGACAACGCCCGCGCTAATATTGCAATCCCTCAGCAATGTTCTAGCCGCTCACGATCGAGCTGTCTCATCTTCCCAAAGATCACTGTCAGGGACGTTATTTTGTATTCAGTGGCTGAGCTTCTTGGCGTCGACCGTAGTTGAGCTACAACTGGACAGGATGCCAGCATGGCCTACTCTTCGAATACAGCTTGAGCTGTTGCTGCTGCGGTTGTTGCACCACCTGGAGCAATTGAAAGGAGTATCGGCGAGTGAAGCACAATTTAGCCAGGGTTTCGTAGCGGCATGGCTGGCGTACCTACCTCCTCGTCAGTTCGAGAATGTTTTTGGTTTTGTAGCGAGCAGGACGACAAGTTAAGACGATCACACTTCCGAATACTCAGCATCAAGGTACTTCTCTTTTTCACACAGTCGCTGCGATCTACTCGGCACACATCTCGTCGATGATGTGGTTTGAAAGGATGTGATGCGGGTCCACCTCGTCGCGAGCCTTCTTGAACTTGTCAAGAGGGTACCTCTTTTTTAGACGATCGTGCATCTTCTGGCGTTCGACAGCATCCTCGGGCCACTCAATTTTTGCCCAGTGCTCTATTGCTCCATAGGGTTCCATGAAGTCGCGGTACAAGGCGTAGTAATCCATAAAGCTGTTCCTGATTGACTGACGAACCTCCTTCTCTGCAGTTGGCAAGTACAGGATGACACCCACCCACGAGAAGATCTGGTCCGGATTACTCGACGACGCAGGACTCATCAAAGACGTGCTGCGAGCTGTCCAGCGCTGCTCGATCGGGGAATGCGCTGGGATGTCTTCCTCGTCAATGCGCTTGAGAAGCTTCTCCATAAAGTCCAGCTCCAATGTGCCGGCGCACGGGAATGAGACCTCCTCCACAAGCTGTTGGCCACCACAGTCAAAGCCAATGATATCGTCCGAGTACGCGACGCGGTAGCCTTCACTAAGTTTCCAAAACTGTTTTTCCGCCTCGTTCACGCGAATGACGTGCTGCTTGTTCAGCGGGTTGATCTCGAGAAGTTTATCACGCATTTTCGTAAAGCTCCAATCGAGATAGTCTGGCTCTGGCTTCCCCTTGGTCAGCTCTAAATACAACTTCCTGGGAACCTCCATACGTACCTCGTCACTGTTTTTCACCGGCGGAAAGCGCTTTTCATCGAGAGGTTCGTCGTTTTGTGCACGACGGCATTGCACTACGACAACAGCGTCAGTGTACGGGATCCACATGTAGCGTAGGTGCTGAAACTCGACGAGCCAGCGGGTGTGGTTCTTCCGGATCTCGTCGAGCGTCATCACAGTAGTCTTCTCAATCAGCTTGTGCTTGGGCACGCACTGCAGCGTCACTTTAGTAACAACACCGAGCGCGCCAAGGCCACATTTTGCTAGTGCAAAGAGCTCTGGGTTCTGTGTAGCACTCAGCTTCATCGTCCCTTTGGCCGGCGTCACAATTTCCATCTCGACGATCTGGTCGTCAATGGGCGGAATGGCTGCTCCAGTTCCATGACATCCAGCCTGACAGATGCCACCCACTTGCTGGTCACGAATCGATGCAACGTTCTGCATGGTCAAGTCGTGCTGGCGCAGCTTGTCCAGCAAGTTGCCAACAATCATACCGGTCTCGACCGTCACCTGGTTCTTCTCCTTGTCCACGTCGAGGATCTTGTCAAGCAGCGCGAGCGTCATGAGGTCTTCATGAATAGCCTCTCTGCTTGCCACATTGTCCGAGAAGCCCAGTCCATTGGGCGAGACGCCAGCGCCCATGCATCGCAGCTTCTGCTTCTTGTCATGGTACCTTTTGAGGAGCTCCTCAACCTCTTCGACTGTCTCAGGTACGTGGAATTGCTTGGGGCGGCACTTGTGCGTAGCCGACCAGTTGACAAATTCGTGCTCGTGTTGGCTGTGTGCTGTGGTCGTGAGAAGTCCTGCAGTAGTTAACGCAGCGCCTGCTGTAGCGACGAGCGCGATCTTCTTGATGGAGTCCCACGCAGACGAAGCAGCACGCTGCTGATCACGGGCGTGACTTGAGTAGAGGCTTGTTACTTGCGCATCGTAGAGAGGGCGGAGCACACGGCGGGGCCGCAGTCCACAAGCGAGCGTCCTGGATCTGAGCATTTTCGGCACGACGTTGACGCGCAGATGGATCGATTGTGGTGGAAGTGATGGCTTCGTTTGTGACGAATCAGATGGGGTGCACAATTTTGGGCTCTCTCGTTGAGAATCAGATGGTAGGTAAATTGGGTGCACAATTTTGGGCTCTCTCGTTGAGAATCAGATTGCTGCTCATTTGAGTACAAGATAAAAGCGACGTACTATGTGTTAGAAAATGGAGGTGCGAATGATTCCAAGTGTCGACGTTCGATTGGAATCTACAGATACACTACCGATTGACCGACTTCGTCTGGTTCAACTGTCAACGAGCATGGCATGAAGCCTGGACGGACCAATCTAAAGTGGACAAATGGTCTGGATAAACTTGACTGCGCTGTGCCACGCCGTCATCACCGCTGTCTTTGTCGCCACGTTCTCGAGGTCTCCACGGTGGACCCACCCGTGCTTCTCGTTGGCAAAGAGCACCACTTCAGATTGCGAGCCAATGTCCGTGCGTGACTTGAAAATGTCGTGGATGCGGCCGCCAGGTTTAAGAAATTCTGGATCGTCGCCAGCAACTAGGAGCAGCTGCGGCACTTTGACACTCTTGGCCAGCGTCTCGACCGCCGCATCATCACCTTTGAGTATGTTCTCAACAGCCCACGCAGGGTGGAACGACACGTGGCCCCGCACGACAGGGTCGGTCTGCGCCGTCTGTGTGGCACCTACCCACGATCCCCAGCACATTCCGTAGCTAGCAAGACGCTCGATACCCGCTTCGGTCTTGAGGTACTTGACAGCGTCCTGAATGCGTGGACTAAGATGCTCGGCGAACGTGTACTTCTTGAACCAGTGCTCGATGCCGTCCATGTTCTCAACGTAATCACCGTCCACGAGGTCAATGACCACGACAGCGTAGCCAAGCTTGCCCATTGTATCGGCGTCGCTCTTGGTACGACCACTGTCGAGTCCGTAGATATCGGGGTACACAATGATACCGGCGGTAGCGGATGAAGGGCCTGTCACATAGATGTTGGTGTTGCCGGTCTTCTTCATCACGCCAGAATGGTCAGCAGGGTTACGCGCAGGCTCAGCGGTTACGGGGCAGCAGCTCATGGTACGTGGCGAGTTTAGAGGGAGAGAGCGAGATGCTTTGGAGCTGTTGGGTTGTGCTGTGGCGGTTTATTCGACAATGAGCGCAGAGAGTTGATTCGTTCGCTTACATAGTGAGAGATCCTTTCGAAACCGGATAGATAGCTTTGTAGCCATCTTGGCGTTTGTTTCATGCAGTTTTAAAATCTTGAAACCTATGCAAGAGCATTATTGTTTTGCACGGATTGCAATTTTTGCTGCTCAGTCAGAAAGTGAAAAAACAAAAAGCGGCATGGAAGCAGAAAGCAACAGTGGCGGATGTCTTCGAAAGTATCTTACCCTACGCGTTAGTTTCGATGTGAATGTAAAGTAATGAGCTAGATATATGAGAAGCAAAAGAAATGACCGGGAGTGTTTCATGCGGTAGTTGGTCGATGCTGCACAGTAGATGAGGACGACAGCATCTTGCTGATACAGGTGAGTGAGAGCACGTTTGAAGACGACGCAACTGTTACAGATCCCGTAAACGTCAGCAGGAACGCGAGAACTTGTGGCAGTAGCTGCCAGCGCTGGATCGAGTATTAATGAAAAGCACCAAGGACAATGTGTGGATCGGAAGAGGAGCGGCAACACGTTAGCTCGAGCTCTGTTTGGTGTCGTGTCCTGCTTCACTTTTGGTGGAAACCCTGCGATGAAACTTGTTCTCTCCTAAGCGCCATCGGATCTGCGAGCTTCTAGACACCGTTCCAGAGCAGTGTCCAGATCGTGTCTTGGTTTCTGCTAAACCACTGGAGTTCCCTCTGTCGTGGACGAAGTTGGATTGAGTTACTGCCCCGAATAAAAGGAGGCGAGGAAACTGGAACTGAGGATGTGGAGGATGACACATTCAGTGGGCCACTGTGCTGATCAAAAGTAATTTGATCACAAAACAAACGAGCTATATACAAGTGCACGATTACTGGATCCAGTGCTGCAATTCAATTGGAACAAGTGTGCAAACTTGATAATCAGCAAGTGATGGGAGAATGAAAAGCATGTAGGTGTGTTGTGGTAGGGTGTGGTAGGTGTGATGTGGTAGTGAGTGGTAGGTGAACATCTGAAATAATCCTCAGGCAAAAATGGTGCTGCTTCGACCGAAAGTAACACACGTGATAGATCAATTCAACGAGGGTTGCTGTTTGGGGAGCATCAGCGTAATCTGGCTCCGGATCGTAGCGATTGGGTCATCGTGCCGAATACAACTCGCTCATACTGTCAACACCTGCTACCAACACACGGCAGTAGCTACATAAACTTGGTGCTGTTTCAAGTTAATCGTTCATCTTGCCGTTCAAGTGCAATACTAAACAGCCAAAAGTGTAGTCTGACCTTGTGTGACGAATAGCTCTACATGCACGTGGACGATCCACGCGGCATAAACTTACAACGCCACAACGTCGCTCAGGCGATGATAACAACGCTGCTGATACGTCGTGGCTATGGTAGTGCATCTCCAAGCCAAAGGTAAGGATGGTCCCGAAGAAGTCGCCCAATTGCAAGAATAGTGCTGCAGTGACAAGCACGAATAAGCGTCGGTCTTAACAAAACACTCTGTTATTGGTCTATCGACAGTGGAAGTTTAGTTGCAGTTGCTTACCAGTACGGAGGAGTGCGAGCTTTCCTGAACGACGTGGATAGCATGAAACGCACATAGCCTGTCGCTGACGCGTCTAACACGCCCATCGACACGATTCGCAGCCAGTCAGCATGTTTGCTCTATCTAGCTGAAATCAATTCCCTGAGCAAGCGGAAGCTCCTTGCTGTAGTTGATCGTGCACGTTGACCGACGCATGTACTGCTTCCAGGCGTCACTGCCGGACTCACGACCACCACCAGTTTCCTTTTCGCCGCCAAAGGCTCCGCCGATTTCGGCACCGCTAGGTCCGATGTTGACATTCACAATGCCACAGTCCGACCCCAGCGGACCTGTCCACTTGAAAATTGCCGACTGATTCTTCGTGAATAGAGACGAAGACAGACCTTGCGGAACAGCGTTGTTCTTCTCAATCGCCTCTTCCAGCGTCTTGAACTTCAGCGCGTATAGGATCGGTGCGAATATTTCCGTCTATTTACATGAAAGACAGGGCATCAGCAATGCAGTAATGAGTAGCTCTAATTGTCGTGGTGCACATTTACCTGGACGATCTCAGCATCATGGGCGATCGAAACGATCGTCGGCTCCACAAAGTTGCCATCACCCTCGACCTTTTTCGCACCGGTGAGAATCTGCACGCCAACACAGAGACTTGAGATCACAACACCAAAGGTTATCATCATGTACCGAAAGCTTACCTTCCCTCCCTGCTCCTTTATAGAATCAATGCCATTCAGGTAGTTCTCCACAGCCTCGGGGTTGTGCAGTGGGCCACAGAGTACGCCATCTTCCAACGGGTCGCCGGTTTTGACGTTTTTGTATGCAGACACGAGACGCTGGAGGAAATCATCGTGAATATCTTCGTGGAGATAGAGACGACGAAGAGACGTGCAGCGCTGGCCGGCTGTTCCCACCGCAGAGAAGAGCGTTGCACGCAGTGCCATCTCCAAATCAGCGTCCTTGTCCACGATCATTGCATTGTTGCCACCAAGCTCAAGGATGGTCTTTCCAAAGCGGGACGACACGACTTTGTTCACGTGACGACCCACTTTCGTGGATCCCGTGAACGAAATGAGCTCCATGCTCTTGTCGTGCAGCATCGCTTCACCCACTTCAGCACCGCTGCCACAAATCAACGACGCAATCGCTCCTGCATGGCCATTGCGCTCCAGCACGTCCGCAATGATCTTCGTACACGCCACCGATGTCAGCGACAGCGACTCGGACGGTTTCCAGATCTGTGTGTTGCCACACACGAGACTCAAGGCCGCGTTCCAGAAAAGCACCGCGCAGGGAAAATTAAAGGCCGTGACGATACCGACGTGGCCCTTCAGTGGATTGTATCGCTCCATCATAAAGTGACCTGGACGCTCGGACGGAATGACGGACCCATTCAGTGTACGACTGAGTCCCACCGCAAAGTCACAAATGTCGATCGCCTCTTGCACTTCACCGACGCCCTAGCAGAGTGGTCAACAACACAACACAAGTGACGCGTCAGCTACAGCATCGAGCGCGTTCAAGACAGCACCACGCAGTACCCACTTCTGCGAAAATCTTGCCCATTTCCAGTGAGATGAGCTTGCCCAGGGCTTCGCGCTTGTTGCGTAGCTCCTCGCCGATCTGTCGCACGATCTCTCCGCGTGCAGGGGCCGGCAGGTCGCACCACTGGGGCTTGGCTTCGTCCATAGCAGCTACGACCTTCCGGTAGTCTTCTTTGGTACCGGCACGGACGCTTGCAATAGCTTGGCCGTTAGCGGGGCTCACTGAAGTATACACGTCTCCGCTTCCAAACCACTGGCCGTTGTATACACCGTGATTCTCCTCCTTCAAGCCCAGCTCTTTCAGGAACGGAAACTGCACGGTACCGACAGTAGACGAAGACATCCAGTGTCGTGTCATCGACGTCATCAGACGGGACTGCTTCCCACGGGCGAGACTTAACATGGCGACGGAATTGACGGCGGCAGAAGCAAGCGAATTGACTTGTGAGAATGTATGTGGACGGCGGCACTTCAATGCCTGAGATATTGTGTACGCACGCAAGTTTTGAGTGGGATGATCCGCGTGGCATCCAATCCCGTGTTTACCTTTTTTTCGCTGCGAATTGGACCTCGCACTTTATCGAGTATCAGTGGTGGTGATAACGTTAACGATAGCGCGCTCTAACGAATAGAGTGGCCGTAAGATCAACGACTTAAAGGACTGTAACACATGCTGCTGCGATTTATAAAACGTGCTGAATGTCACTGCTAGTTGCCCTGGAAGGTCTGCTTCTCGAACAAATGCAGCGTGAGTGTCGACAAGAAAGCTGGGAACGACCGACATGTCGTCAAATAAGCGAAGACGCGCTGATTAATGCGTGAGCAAAAGTCGCTGTCCAATAGCTCCAACGATCCACTGGCTTCCATGCGAATCAATAGGTCGTCGTCATCGTGCTCGGCGTACATGGAGCGCAGGCGCAGCATCTCCATGCCATTGCTCTTTTTCAAGTCCACCTTGTAACCTGTGAGCAAATACACGGCCTCTCGATATTGCCGAATCTGGTCTCCGAACACCTGCCACATGTTGGTCCAGGTCAGATAAAGGCCAATACATGCAACTTCAAGGCGATCTCACATACCTGCTTCAGACGCTGGTTGAGCTTCTTCAGACCGTCTACCGTATCGTACGAAGTTGTCGTTGTAAGTTTGTCTTCGGCGCATACACCCGGAGACTGTCAATACAGCAAGAAGCACCCTATCATCAATAACAACAGCAAAATGAAGCCCTGCTACTTCCAGTGATGCTCACCTCGACGTCTCCACCGTCCGTAAGCTTCGTGAGTCGAGCTCGTAGTGCCTCATTTTCCCGGCGCAAGTTTTCGACGTCATTCGACGTAGCCTTGCTTTGCAACAGCTCGCGTGTAGGGTTTACGGCCAAGTGTACGATTTTGGTCGTTTCAACATTGAACTCGCCTTTGCCTAGCCGCTTCTCAAAAACTGCCAGCTCCATCTCTGCCTTTTCAAGATGCTTTCTCAGACCCCCGTTGTCTTGCTCAATATGAGTCAGTGCCTTCTCCAATCGCTCAATCCGTGCTTCATACCTTTTGACAATAGCAGGTGTCGCCATCGACTGCTGAGCAAGTTCCATGCTCGTTATCAGCTCTTCAGATTGCTTCAGCGCAGATTCCAGCAGGGCCACTCGCTTTGATGTAGAATCATCTCCGGCTTCATCATCCAGATCCTTACCATACGTTTCAAGGATCTCTACCAGCTCTGCGTTGATCTTGCGCAAATGTGTCGCCACATCATTAGACCCGCTCATCTTCTCCTGGATCCCCGCAAGCTGTGTTTCAAGTTTTGCACAATTATTACTGGACGTAATCAAATCGACTTGCAGCTTCTCACAATGCTTCTCTAACCGTCGACGTTGAATCTCCACATTATTCTTTTGTTCAAACAGCATCTCGAATGCATTCTGACGCGCTTTGTACAGCTCAACTACCGATGCGGCTGGTCGTTTTTTTAGATCCTCCAACGTTACATCACCTGCAGACGGCCAAACAAATCGTGTGAACAATATGCCTCGAGTATATCGTGCGACACAAGAACCTACTTACTCTTCGCTTCTTTGACAATCTGGTCGAAGTAGTTGTAAAACTCTTTATGCGCCTCCTCTACCAGCATTGCTTTCTCCTGCACAACCAACCAGTTAGAACAAATATGCGGGTGCAGCTACAATTGCCACTTTCTCGACTAACATACAATGCGTTCGAGTGACTGAGCGTTCCGTTCTTCACTCTGTTGAAGTTTTCGAGTCACTCGATACAGCTTTTCCTGCAAAACAGAAGATGATCGGGATGCCTCGATCAAGTCCACCAACTGCAGACCGTCGGATGCGTGTTAAAAGCAACTCGCTCTTCAGTATCAACAGCACACAACGCACCTCGGCCTTAAGTTTGCGCTCTGTCGACCGTAGTTGCACAATCTGCTCGTTTAACTCTCGAACTTCGCACGCATCATCGAGTGTATCTTGCGCGCCGAGCATTCTAGAAGCCATGTGCTCAGCCTCCATGCTTTTCTGTTTGAGTTGGGATTCCAGCAAACGAATCTTCGATTCGAGAATGTTGTCCTCGCTCTGAGGAGCACTCGTGGATAAATATAAGGGACATAGTTGGACAAAGATAAAGTGTTGGCTGGCACTGACCTGAGAGGTTGTCATTGACGAGTCTTGGGCAGCTTCTAGCTCGTCTTGCAATAGCTGAATCTGTTAGACATCAACATTGGTCACTACTGTTGCCCCGCAGCTCAATATTTTTCACGTCGCTCACCTTCATGGTGGACTGCCTTGTGTGCATGCGTAGCTGATCAGTCGTTTCCAAAGCTTTTTCTTTCCACTCATCCAGCTTCCCTTCCACGAGCTTCAGCTGCGCTTCCAACTCCACCACTCTCTTCTCCAGCTGCAATTTCTCAACCGAATGTTCATTTACAATGTTCTTGAGCTCCTTCATTGTCTTGTCTTCTGCTGCTACAGCATACTTCAACTGACGGCGGAGTTGGTCCAGCTTTACATCTCGCTCCTTCAGCTCGATCTGATGTCGTTGCGACTTGGTCTCGAGCTGGATTCGGAGCAAATCAGCCTCGCGCTTCAGCTCTTCGTTCTGTGATCCCACATCACAATAAACGTATCAGCCATCAGGTCTCGTCATCACTCGGTAGCTCCTCGCTCACCTTGAACACTGCAAAACTCTCAATCTCAAGTCGCTGGCGCTTCTTCTCCCTCGCGCCATCGCTCGCTTTTTCCTGTTGCTTAGCTACATCATTGCGAAATGCTGTCAGTTTGTTGCTGCAACATTTCCGCCATTTACGGCGTCGTGGCCGTCCGCACCTTCGTTTTCCAGCTCGTGCTCCCGCTCGTGCTGCTGCTGTGCCCGATCTGGCAAGGTGGGATCACTGGCCTTAGACGGCGTTACTCCATCGTCCAGGAAATCGTCGCTTGATGTGCCTTTTGACTGTGTGAGATTAGGATCGAACAGCGCGACGTCGTTTACTTAACAAAAAAGAACGCCCACAAGCCATCGACCAGGAACTAGAGAGTGATACAGACCTGTGCGGAGCTGCTCTTGTCCACGAAGAAGACTTGGGACGGATCTTTGGGGATCGGCGAGCACAAGAACGACGACGACAAAGACGTCCGCTTGCCCTCGGCCATCGCTCACTGGCCTTTTCGACGAGATCGTTCGTGCAACATTTTGGGAGCGTCGCGCAACATCCGCACGAATCTGAGTCAAAAGGGGCGTTATACTCTGTCTGACAACAAACATCGAGCCGCGTGAGAGCCATGCCCATGTCTGACACGAACACCGACGCTGTCGACGGCGTTTGCGTGCGCTACGCGTGCGATTGTGGGCACTTGGCGCCCGTAAGCGCTCTGTTTTTCAGCGAGACGTGTAGTAAACTGGTGTGCCGCCGTCCATCCTGCAGCGTCGAAGAGTTCGAGTCGTATTACTGCGGGAACTTGCTCGTGAATTTGCCGTCCAAAGAGGCGAGCATGTACCAGAACCGCTCGAGCCGCTGCTTTAGTTGTCCCATGTGCGAAAATACGTTGTCTGTGGCCTTTCATGATCGCAAGCAGTGCTTCTTCTTCCTGTGCGCGCACTGTCGTTGGGATTCGCTGGAGCTGGAACTAGTCGACGACGACCCGGACGCTCTCGTCATGATGGCCATCAAGAGGGAGCGGGAGACGGTCCATGAGGAGGCATTTCAGGCGTTGTGCTCGCACTATTCGACCACGTCGAGCTCCTCATCCAGCACCGGAGCAAGTGGCGCTCTGTCGATGAGCTCCGGGACGGCTTTTGGTCGGACTGACTCGCTCGAGCTGCTGGCCAACTCGATGAAAGAGCTTCAACGTGAGCACCAGATGAAAAAATTCCGACTTCAAAGGATGGTAGAGATGGGACACTGGAATTACGACCAAGCGCTTGCACAAGTACAGGAAAAGGAGCAGCGACTGCTGGAGCAGCGACGGCAGCATCAGTGGCCTGAGCTGGCGAAGCATCTTGCAGCACTACAGGAGCACGAGACTTTTCGGAAAGAAGGTGCATTCGAGGAGACTCGTGACATGATCGAGAAGCTCGCGCTTCGTAGCGATATGGGTGGTGTGTCGACATTGCATCAGCGACTACTGCATCCATTGGATCAGTCGCGCGAGGCTGCCATGGTCTTTCCGTTTCGGCCACTACTGCGGGTGAAGCGCACGTGGAGGTGTGTGGAATCAATCAAGCGTGGTACCGCTGGCATCCTTGTAAAGCCTCAGATCAGTCCAATGAGTGGCGACAGTTCGCTGCCTGTTTCGGCATCATGGTTTAAGAAAGCCAACTTGGCCGCGCAGTTCGTGCCTGTCGTTACATTCCAGCGTCTGCCATACCGTGGCGATGACGGTGTAGTCGAATGCGTCTTGCTTGTGGAAAACCCATTAGACGACGCCGTCCGCATCACACTCCGCCCTGCCACTCCGTCTGAGGCTGATAAATATTTGCCTGAGATTGGACAGGTACGCTACATGCAAATTAGTACGGCGCATCTTATTTAGATGGCATAACTAACGATTGTGTGCACTAGGCCGCGCTGCAAGATTTGACTCCGATAATCGTCGGGCCATACGAAGATCCGAATATTGCTGACGCTTTTGTTGACGATGAACCACCGTTTGGTGCGAACAATGGCCAGCGTAATGCAATGTTGCTTCAAGCTACTCGCAATCTCATTAAAATCAAAGTTCAGGTACGTTGGCTCGTAGCGATGTGGTTCAGCCAGACTTGCTGATTGTTTCTATATTCCTGTTTGCAGGTCACCGCCGATGTTGCTACAACGTCTCCAAATGCAGCAATATCAGCAGGTTTCATCATAGACGTGGAAAGGTTTGATGAAGACGCAAACGAGGTTATTGAGAACTCACTGCTTAGTGTTCCGGTTGTGATAACGGCTCCAATATCGCAGTAGTCCAGTGTTTGGGGGCCAGCGGTCTCTGTCAGCAAACAGTCCCTGTTGCGGCCAAAACGCCAATAAGATCGGAACAGCGGTGTTTGTCTCCGAAGGTGAATTTGCCAGTAGAATCTCGATAGATTGCACGCGATCCTCAGTCGCCGCCTTTGTGATCACAGCAAGATAGCCAAGACCACAAGGTCGCACTTCAGAAGAAATCGTTTCACATTAGATCGTACAATTCAATGTGTGTAGATCTTTCACGCGACGTTTGGCCGAGACATGCTTAGCTTGTGTCAAGGTGCGGTGCATGGGAGGGAGAGATCCACCATGTTGTAATGGTGTCCGGTGCATCAGAAGCAGATGCGCTAGTATGAAAATATTGACGGTACGATCGGACCAAATGACTAACAGTAGCAATGCAAACGCAGGAGAAATGTCGATCACCAGTATCTCAATTCAAAGGACTTTGCGAAAAAATGCGCTATCGTGTCACTACGACCCCCCGCACTAATGTAGTCACACCAGCACCTCTACCTTGCTGCCCATGAGTGTAAGTGCGTCGGGATTTTGTCAAGCCTTTTCCGCTGTTAGGTGCTTCGTTGAGGTACTTCAATGTAGTTTACTCTGCCGGGGCTAGGAACCGGTTTTTCAGGTGTTGTAGCTGGCGTCGGAGACCTAGAGCGAGCGAGTCAGTCAGACTTTACCAGTACAGTACTGGCACCACATCTGCGTTACCTGCGTAATCTAGACCCGCGTAACGAAGCACGTATAAGTGGTGAAGAAGATTTCTGTTGATCGTGCTCATATCACCCGTCGCGGTGGCCTGGTCAATCGAATTTTCGGCAGCCTCGCGCTCGCTGCACATTTTCTCGTAAATGTGCTCTGCTTCTCGGATCACTTCTGCTGGCAAACCACTTAGCGCTGCTGTCTTGATGCCGTACATACCAATTGATGGGAAGGGTCCATCCTTTAACACGTAGCGATAATGCACAGAATTCTGATACAGACGGAAATCAGGCCACGCATGTAGCTGATTCTGCAAAGCTTGAGGAACGCACGGTGTTGGATTCAGTGCCCATGTGGTAACTTCGACAGCGAGGATACAAGCGAGCAAGACGATTGAGCTGGTGATAATGGGTTGCGAAACAAGTGAAGGATCCCCGGTGAATCATCTCCTCACCAATACTCCACGCAATAGCTGCGCCTTCGTCAATGGCTGTGCCTCGGCCCAGCTCGTCAATGAGGACCAATGACTTTGCCGTACACGATTCCAGAATAAAGGCCGTCTCAGTCATTTCAACCGCGAAAGAGCTCGCGTTTTCTTCCATATCGTCGGAGGTTCCGAACCTTGTACAGATTCGATCTCGAATCGGAATGACAGCATCGGAAGCGGGGACGTAGCATCCCATCTGGGCCAGAATTGTAATCAAAGCTGTCGCTCGCAGATACGTGGACTTACCTGCGCAATTGGGGCCAGCAATGACTTCACCAGAAGGACCAATTTGTTAGTCTGTGAGGGCATTGGACTGGGCTCTACGCGCAAAATCATCTTACTGTGAAAGGTGCTTAGTGGGTCAAAGAACTGCTCCAAAACAAGAAGCACAGTTTTTAGACACGTACGGAAGAGGACGATTGCCGTTAGCACTTACCGTGTCGCTTGGGATGTAAGCCCGATCTTTCAGTACACGTTCAACGAGTGGGTGTCTCCCCTTCTTAATGATCAGATTGCCATGCTCAGTGACACTTGGCTTTGTATCTACAGAGCCACACATGCAACGTCTTTGTGAGCAATATATTGCGCAGCGGTTGGCGGTATCACAAATATGTTACATGGCTTGTCCGGTGGCGAAAGGGCGACGACGTGTACAAAGCTGTGGACAGAGTAAGGATCATCATCGATGTTTCACAAAGAAAGAACGGTATGGTACCTTAGAAGCATATCAAGAAGCGCGACGCTTTCCACCATCGCGTGCATGGCTGAAGATCGGGGGCGGATCTTGTTGAGGAGTTGTTGTATAACACTGTTCGACAGCTTATAGACTGCGGTGAGCGCTTCGTTCAGCCGTACGTTGAGAGAAACCAGTGGCTTGGTCGAGCAGCAGATTACTGATAGCAAGCGATGCCAAAGTCAGATCAACAAAAATATTGCAGCAAATCTACAAGCACAGCACCTGTTTTCGTCGTCACCCTTTCGATGAAGCTTGCAGGTAGATCCTTTGCATTGACGGGGACAGCCAAATGGTATCCTCTCCGAGCCCTGCATCGCAATGGATCCGTTCAACCAAGCTGTCGCTTTTACCATGCGGCATTAGACACAAATTGGCAGCTTACGTGTAGTTGAGTCGAATGGGAATTCCAAGGTTTTCCTTGTATGTGTGGATGACCTCATGAATTTTCTCAATTGTATCGAGGTAGGATCGCCGCGCCACGTCCAGCATACCGTCAACTCCTGCTCGAACAGCAAAACACTCCTGTATGCGTTTCTGTGCAGCCGAACGACAGATTTTGACCCTTTTTGAAAGTTGTAAGTGAGATTGATAAGCATGAGCGCTGTGATTTTTCTCCAAATCGATCTCACCGGTCGTTCACAACTCGCTCAATATCTGCCTTTATCCCTGTAAATTGCTCGTCACACAAACTTGATGCATAGTTGGAAGATATATGTCAACTCTGCATCATGCATCGTTCGTACCTTCGAATGATCGAGTCGAGCAAAGGACAAGGTTTGTCGAGCTTCGCCGAGGTGGATTCCAGACACGAAACGAGTTTTGGCAGACACTCCAACGTGTGTTTAAGTGCAATCACACTGCCTATGGCGATTCGCGAAACCCGAGGCGTGACTACTTTGGGTATGAAAACAAGTTGACCCTTCAAAACAAGAGCCCTCATCACATCAATTTGCATGCACCGACCCTCATGAGAGTATGGGAGTCAACGAACCAGTAAGCGGTCCAAGTCGACGAAATCTTGTAGCTCTTCCATTACATCAAAAAACCACGCAGGGTTATCAAGAAAGATCCCGACAACTTCGTGGCGCGCTTGACTGGAGCAAACGAACTATGAGAACGGCACGACTCCAACATGCAGACAAAACGGCATAGTGCGATACATTGTTTTCAGGTGGCATGTCGGCTGCAGCATCTAAGAAACAGCAGATGTTTGGTAAGATAGCTAGAATACCACTCCATTCATCGCGTGCGTACCGTAGATCGAAGTAGTCGATTCCCAGCCATGGTTTGCGTGTTCTTGAGCATCTTGTAAAGAGACTTGCAAAAGCAGTGTCGTAAGAGGTAGTGCGAGAACAGCAAATGGCAATAGATAGACCCTTGCAGTACCTGGCTATCACTTGTTCCTCGTGTGCCTCGAATAAGCTCCAGAGACGAAACCGTTGCTTGGTCCATCAGCAGTTTGCGCGTCGACGGACTAAGCACAACCTATAATGCAACGTTTAGTCTCATCGTGTCATTTGATCTGGACTTGACCACGATCAGAAATCGCATCGCATGACAACCTTCAGCGTCTTTTCCGCGATGTATACTCCTTGTATGTACTCCACGTATTTCATTATACACGCCACTGCGGCCATGGCAACGTAGTTCTAGCAATGTTTTGGTATCAACACAGGAGCAGCTGTCAAAAGTAAACGACGTGGACGGAGCGTACCCTTCCGATATTGATATCGACGTTGTTTGCCATCACGCGTTTGATATCTTCTGCCCCTTTGGTCTGGCTGTCAACAAGGGGACTCATGACTAAGATCAAGTACCACATACAATAGCAGCGTTTCCCAGTTGCAGCTTACTCAAAGTATTTCCGCGCAAGTGGTACGATTCGGCAGTTTGCTCCAGCAAAGCGCTTGGAGATCTCATCGTTAATTTTGTGCGACTTGGACGTTTCTACCACGAGGATCTCCACAGGCTGGTCGGGAGTATTACGTCAGACTGTACACACAAGCTGCTTGCATGATTCACTGTTCGTACCTGATATGCTTGAAGCAGCGACATGGTGTCGACGTAAGAGTGCGAGTCAATGACCGTCCACAAAAGCAACTCATAAGGCGACATTAAGTCGATCGCACAGATCCCTGTTCAGAGAGTCACCGTCATAACCAAGTAGCTTGACCTCTACTTCAGTAAGTCCTGCTAATTCGTTACCGATCTCGCGAGCGCGGTTTTCTGCCACAGCAACGATGAGAAACGACGATTTGGAGTCGATTTCTGTGGACGCTGGACCTCTTGAGCCTCCACGGCTAGCAGCAAATGGGCGAGACGCGGCTTCTGTCGCGAAGGCCTCAGCTCCTGCTGGGACCGGGACACCGTACCGTGGGGGTCTCACAGCACTTTCATCGAGCTCAACACAACGTTCGACTTTGTCTTCCATTCAGTTCAACTGCTCGCTGCTCAGTACCTTGCAACTTTGAAAATGTGGTTGTCAAGCGAGTGCGCACAAGAATGATGGTCACTTCAACTTTGTCTGCTGTTATGATTGCTACTTAAAAAACGAAAAGTCATTCGTCGAAACTCGGACGTCGGCGCGATACTGATACTTGCTATTGCGTGGACGCTAGGTGGCGGCACGGACAACCGCAGTTGGGACATCTTCGTCACATGAGAGGGACCCCGAGGATGTTAGACGTGCACCGAAAGTAATCAAATTCGAACGATGACGCAACCGAGATATCAATAACGCCGGAGCGAAGGACTGTTGGGAAAGTATGACACGCAACCTGGCTGACAACTTAGTGCAGCACACAGCCGGTGAAGCGGACGTGGTAAAGGAGGGTGTTACGTCTGTTCTGATGATATGCACTTTGCGCGAGGTAATGTCGTAATCCATACTTTTACCACTGCTCAGTCAATTTAAGAACTAGCGGGTGGTATTTAGATGTGTGGTGTTTTTATTAGAAGAAGCACCCCATGTTTGTCAACGACCGCGATTTCGCAGACGTGAAGGGGCCACACATACAAATGAGGGATAATTGCAAAAGGTGGCAGGATTTAAAGTTTTACCAGAATGTGACAGGATATTTTAAAATCTCGATATATTCTAGCCAATCACACAACCGTAAACTACGTCAGTGACCAGTAGGTACAGGGTACCACTCCTGACGGTACAGAGTACCGATACGATGAAGGGCTAGGGCTAGGATGCTGATGTTGCAAGAGAAGGGGTTCTATGCATTCTAGCGGAGTGGTTGTTGGCCCAGTGTTCTGTGCTGGGACGTGTGGGTTCGACTTCGGCGTGGTGTTGCCCAAAGGTATCTCGTGACAGCTTGCGGTAATTGTCTTGTACATGTACTTTTTCGGACCTGGACATATTAAGGGTCTGGTCCAGCTCGCGCCATTCTAGGTTACTTGTAGGGTGAGTCCTTTAGGCCAGACTATTTCATCGCTGGAGGGAGAACGTTTTACCCTGACAGCAAGGACGAGTGGTCGCTTCGCACAAGTGAAATGGGATTGTTCCCTGGGTGCGTACATCCCGGTTGGCAAGTCACATACCTTTTGTCCCACGCGTCACAGAATTAAATACGCAGTGTAATATGAAGAGATTGACATGACGTTTTATGTCAGACCTCAACAAGGCGGAAGGTCGCACGGTTGTGTCCATTATTGCTACCACACTTCCCGCATTGGTACCGTCTGCACACCCGGTCACCAGCTTCTTTCACCCACAATCTCATGCTTCTTTTCTTAGATCTTTCCGCCTGACGGATGTATCTGTTGGTGGACCACCTTGGTTGTTGACGATGCTGTGGCCCTCGGGAATCAGCATGGCACCGACGGTCGTTGAATAAGTCGTAACTTGGCAGCACTGATAGATTAAAGATGTTCTTCCTCGCGTTGAGCGCCGCAATAAGATGACGACCCACAATCTTCAACCTCAGCCAAGTTTTACACGAGCAAATTATTGAGGTTGTCTTTACTTTTCTCTGCTTCAAGGGCTGTGTGACACGGCAGAAAAAGAAAACGTGTTCGTCACTGCCTACTGAGGTGTAGTCTTCGGCTTGCTTTAGCTGATCTGGATTCTGGCCTCAGCTTGAGGAGTGACCGCGCGTCCTATTTTTAATTACAGCTGTATGTGCTGATTGCGAGCGTACACATCGCCCATTGGTATAGTTGCGTAGCTCTTGAAGCACTCGAAGGGTACTATCCTTCAAATTTTCAACCTCAAGCTCTTTTGCGGCTCTCGACTCTACAATTAGATTGTAAAATCTTCTCAGTCTTCTAAGGGAAGCGATGTACAGACGATAGCGAGTCTTCAACTAGACGTACTCAGAAGAGCAGTCCACTAGGGTCAGGTCCAGTATAACATGCGATCATCCAGCTGCGAAGTAGTGCACGCAACAGTTCATGAGCTACACCGTTCCGAAGCAGAATGTTTCTTCCAAAAAGTACTTTGCACTCCAGAGATGAAAGCAAATCTTTGAGCTATACGACAGCGTGACCTTACAAGCGTCAGCTTTCCCAACGCGACAGCAATGATATGTCCGTCTCATGAAATCCTTCTCACACTCGCTCTCCTTCTGAGGCGTTGAATAGTCTACCGAGTCTTTCGACAGACGATCAGCTTCGCTACGCTTGGCAGCTGCAATCTCTTCGATGCGCTCTGCACTTTCGTTAAAATGCAGCTATCCGCCACAGCAAAGATCATTGGCGATGGCGAACCCAACGAGGTGAAAGTGCCAGACGAATCTGGTGCGTCCTTCCTATACCCGGCTGGCATTAGTGATGTCCTTCTCTGGGAATGCAATCGCACTAGCAGGACAATGACTCTAGCTTTGCTCACTAGCATTCCCTGGGTTGCCTAATCGAGACTAGCCGGAAAGTTACCGCGCACACGCGCAAGATACGTCTTAGAAGCCTGACGGTTGGCTACTCCGCAAATGCATCAAAGCGTTAGATGCGCGTGCTTGTAAGAGGCAGAAAATAACTGCATAAAAATGTGTTGTTTGTTGTAGCAGCAAACTATAACGTACCAGTGATTGACGACGGAGACTTCGCCATGGCCGCATTCTTTGCTAGAAACACAACACCTGATGCAGCTGAGTGAGTCACAATAGTAAACAGTAGCTTACAACGGCATCAACCGTTTCATCGTACCAGATGTGAGTTGGTCGAGTCGATGGACGACGTGAAGCTGCGTAAGGTCCGGCCGAGTTGATTGCAGAATCGAGTGCAGCGAGTCGTGGCGATACGCTCCCCACACGGGTGAGTCGGCATGGAAGGCGGTTTCGACATAGCAGTCTAGTACTGTACGCCACGGTTAGTTCAAGATGCCGCAAAAACACGGTTCGTGCCCATCCACGCACGAGATCGTCGTTCTCATACACTACTGCCATCTTATCTCTGGACAATGGAGGCTCGTGCAATGAGCCTACGATATTGACGCTATACTACGCTACTAGTCCTTGAAAGCAGCAACAACTGCAAGCCCAGCGAAAAGTTGCCGTATGGATGACCAAATCTCCGTTCTTGACGAGGGTATCCGCCAGCACGAGCTGATAGTTCACCGAGATGCGTCCCGATGCAATGGAATATCTATACACAATATATGCGCATTCAGCAATAGTTGAACCACATTACAAAGTATTTTTCGTCGTCAAACTTACAAGATAAATACCCTGGCGTATCGGCGCCGAATTCTGTGAGGAAACACTTGTTCGCAGCTTCACGGTTGAACCACCTGGTCTGGGCAAATGTGCGAACTTGTACTTATACGACTCGACCATCCGATAACCTGCCATGGACCATCAGACCTTACTACGATTAGTTTGTGCGTACGAAAACAGTGTTTCTTGAACAATAATTAGATGCACGATAGTTCCTTCGCCACTGCCATTGACAAAGGAGTACTTCGGTACTCTAGTCTGGAATCGGGCGGCACTCTTGGCTTCTTGCTTCGACCTTGCACTTCTTGGCTTGGCGCTCGACCGAACTCCTCTGCACGACCCGTTTTCCTTCAATTCCCTCTTGCTAGAAGGTTTGCCCTTTCCATCTCTAGCGGGTATCGCATTTGCGACGGCCCATTGTGTATCGCTTGGCTCCATGTCTTCACACGATTATTGTCGCCTCTTGTACTCGGGAATGGTGGAATGTGATGGTTTCGACACATCCAGTCAACAGGACGTTGTATTCCAATATCATGAGTAGTAAAATCAAAAATAGTAGAGCGAGCTATTCTAGCGTACTGGACGCGAGCAGAGGCGTTGTAACTGTCGGCTTCTTGAATAACAGCGACTTGGTGTCAACGACGCTGAAGTCTTCGGGGAGAGCTGGAGGGGTGTAATACCGGAGCAATAGCGAGGACGTGACCACTGACACGGACGAAATGGCCATGGCGCCACCAGCAAACATTGGCGGAATTGTGAAGCCATATGGATACAGCACACCTGCAGCTAGAGGGATCAAGAGACAATTGTAGCCCAGGGCCCACACGTAGTTCAGCCGGATACGGTTAAAGATCGTTCGAGACAGATCCAGTGCCGTGATGACGTCGAACAAGTTGGCCTTCATGAGGACCATGCCAGCCGTTTCCACTGCGATTTCCGTACCACCACCCAAAGCAATGCCCAAATCAGCTTGTGCAAGGGCAGGCGAGTCATTGATGCCATCGCCGACCATTGCAACGGTGCGGCCAAGGCTCTGAAGCTGCTTGACTTTTGAAGACTTTTGGGAGGGAACAACACCAGCCATGACGTTGCGCCGGCTGATACCGAGCTGGTCAGCAATTGTGTACGCAGTACGCGCGTTGTCTCCAGTGACCATCCAGACCTCGAGACCCATTTGCCTGAGTTTCTTCAGTGTTCGCATTGACTCCTTGCGCGGCGCGTCTGCCACACCAAAGACAGCGCTAAGCTCGTCGTCAACGCCCATATAAATTGCAGTCTTTCCGGCATTCTGGAATGTCAGCGTGGCTTGCTGTAGCACAATACTCGTCCAACGTTTCAGACCGTTTTCTACCATCCATTCCCTGTTGCCGATGACAACTTTGTGCTCACCAACCGTACATGCGATACCTCTTCCAGAAACGCCCTGGAAATCAGTCGGCTGCTCAAGTGATGATGCTATAAATTTGGCGTACTCGATGATCGCCTTGCTCAGCGGGTGTTCACTGCCAAGTTCGGCCGACCCAGCTAAGAGAATGAGTTTCTCAGTACTCAATTTCTTACTGAGCACGACCACGTCTGTCACCACAGGCTTTCCCACAGTCAGCGTTCCTGTCTTGTCAAACAAGATCGTGTCAATGCTGTGCGCAGCTTGCAAAGGCTCGCCACCTTTGATCAACACGCCATGCTCGGCGCCGACACCCGTTCCGACCATGACAGCCGTTGGCGTAGCCAGTCCCAATGCACACGGGCAAGCAACTACAAGCGTTGCGATACCAAAGTTGAACGCAAATACAAACTTGCTGTCCATGGGAGGAATCAAGCTCGATGGAACCACATCGAAAAGACATAGGATGAACCAGGCTGAGAATGTCAGAAATGACAACCCCAGTACAGTCGGGACAAAGATGGATGCCACGTAGTCTGCATATGCTTGGATTGGCGCTTTTGAGGCCTGCGCGTCCTCCACAAGACGGATGATTTGACTCAGTGCAGTATCGTTGTCCACACTAGTTACCTTCATATGGAACAACCCTTCGACGTTGACCGTCGCCCCTAGCACACGATCACCACTGACTTTTTTTATCGTCCTAGATTCGCCGGTCAGCATGGATTCATCGATTCGACCGTCGCCGTACACGATCACGCCATCAGCAGGGATCGATGAACCGCGAACGACCTTCAAAATGTCGCCACGCTGGACCAACTCAATTGGAACAATCCGTTCTTCTCGGATACTGGTTCCATCTGCGCTGAAAACTAGCAGCGTAGCGGATTTGACCTGTAGCTCCATCAACTTGCTTAATGCTGCTGATGTCTCACCTTTTGCGACCGATTCCAGGAACTTGCCCAATATCACGAACGAAAGCAACATTGTCGACGTCATAAACATGTCGAGATTGGCAACACTTGAGTCGCCCAGCAGGCAAGCACGTGCAACGCTAAGAAGCCCGTAAAAGTATGACGCATTAGAGCCCATAGATACCAAGAACGACATACCCAGCGTCCGGTTCTTCATCCCCTTGTACGCATCGACGTGGAAACGGCGTGCCGCATAGAACTGGACTGGCGTGGCAGAAATCGCCACGATCAAAGTTTGCCACGAAACACCTGGTAGAATAGTCAATGCCAAGCTATGTTCAGTGGACGCGATGTTGTCAAACACCATCATGATCGCGAGGACTGGCGTCGTAAAGAGCATTGATACAAGAAAGTCGACGCGGTATCGCGCGATCTCTTTCGTGCGCTGGTTTCCAAGCGCTTTCTGGGCTTCTCCTCCAGACAAATACGAAGCGCCGTATCCAATATCTTCGATAGTTTCAACAAGCGTTCGTACGCCAACCACGTGCTTGTCAAATCGGACCGATGCCTTCTCTGTTGCAAAGCTAACCGTAACTGAAATGACGCCTTCCATTTGTGTCAGAGCATTTTCAACTGAGCTCGAGCACGAGCTACAAGCCATGCCTTCAATGAGAAGCGTGGCTTCTCCGATGTCGACAGCGTCAGAGCCAATCGAAAGAGCTAGGTCGTTTGCAGCTGTAGAGAACACTGAATTTGACTTTGCGTCGGTGTCGAATGCAGAAGTCTTGGTGGCGGTAGGCGCTTCTTTTACACTGGGCTCAACAACTCGAGCGCGAAACTTTGAACCCGCACATTGAACGGCTCGGACCAAGTCGTCATCTCTAACCTGTGTGTCAGGGTCTACCTCAATGGTTGCCCTCTTTGTGGCAAAATCTACCGATACCGATGCAACACCCTCGGTTTTGCTGAGAGCTTGCTGGACCTTTCGTGCACAGTTGTTGGCGCAGCTCATGCCATCGATCTCCAAAACTATCATGCGGGGTTCGAGCGACGGATGGTACGCCACTGCATCAAACGAATCACCAGCCCCTCGAACGACTTCAATGAGATCGCGTTCGGTCAACGTGCTGCCCGCTCGAAGCAGAACAGTGGCACGCTGCAAGGAAAAATCCACATTCGCGGCTTCCACGCTTGGTATCGCACATAGAGCCTTTTCAAGTTTGTTCGCGCAGTTAGAAGTTGGCCTCATGCCTTGGACTGCAAGAACGATTGAGCGTGGTCCACTGGGTGGTGATGTCATTGAAGCCGTGAACTTTTGGTCTGCGGAATGCACGACATTGATCAGGTCCGTTTCGGTCAAACAGCTATCTGTTTCCAAAAAAATGGCAGCCCGCTTCGTGTCAAAGTCTACCTTGGCATTCATAACTCCTTTGACACTCAACAATGCATCCTGCACTTTTCTTGCACAGTTCTTGGCGCAGCTCATACCACTGATCGAGAGATAAACAACGTGCGAGCAACCGTCATTCGCAAAGAGATCGTAACACGAAGCATCGAACTTGTCCCCAAGGCTGCGCACCACTGCAACCAAATCTTCCTCGACCACCTGACATCCAGGCTCCAGAATAACCATCGCACGTTTATTTTCAAAGTCAACCGTAGCGTTGATCGCCCCTTCAGTGCGCTGCAACGCTTCCTGTACCTTTGCCGCACACACCTTGGCACAAGTCATACCTGTGATATTCAGCAAGATCGCACCAGAAACTGAGCCTGTTCGCTTCTTCTTCTCCTTTGCAACAGATGCTTTGAACCGTGAGTTCGCTGCGTCAATGTACTTGATCAGATCGACCTCCGTAGCCGTGCAACCCTTTGCTACCGCCACTTCCGCTGTCTTCGACTTAGAGTCCACATGAATGTGTAGCACACCAGGAACTTGCTCCAGTGCACGAATTACCTGCCGCCCACAATTGGTCATACAGCGCATGCCATGTACGCGCAGACGAACGATACGCTCGCGATGCTGCCACACGGGATACGCCACGAATTGGCCTGGCGTTGCGTGCCGCACAACCTCAGCAAGTGTGGCTTCAGTGGCTTCATCGGCGCGACGCATCAGCTCGATCCTGACGAGTCGCTCCGGCACGTCCAGCTGTACGCACCGCACGCCGAGAGTGCTGGTCGTGAGTGCTGCCTTGATCTTGGCTGCAGCGCCTTCGTTGTCGTCAGCAAGACCCGGTACCACTAGGAACACGACGCGGTCCTCATCATCCTGACGCTGAGACGAGGTCACGCTTGGAACGTCCTGCTCAATGGGCACGCAGACCCCATCGTCTTGCGGCCTGAATCGGTTGGTAACTGTCATGCTTGCGTCTGCACGACAATTGAAAAATGAGGCGGAAGATCGTTATTTCGCGTGAGCTGTCAGCCAATCATAAGTACTGAGACGAGGATGTAACCGTTGATGATTACGATAGCACTTGAAGTGACCAAGCGGCCAGCCAATCCGAGCCGTTGTTTCGAGCAAGAGGCCAGGAACGTTTCGCGAGCGATAATATCTCGGAGCCTGATTGGCGGATCGGGACGCACGTACTAATGATGAGTCGAGTGTGCAGCATGCGCTTCCAGTTTTATCTTCCATGGACATAGATGTCGTCCATTGTGAAGGTGGTACCTAGGTACGGTCTGCTGGGGTTCGGATGGAACGAAAGGCCGTCTTACGACGATGTTGATCGAAGGTGAGCATAGGCACGGAGTGCCGAAGATATGATCAACTCACTTGCAATTGGTTGTGCGACGGCACACACACAGTACATACGAGACCAAACTTGCTAGAGGATGATGAGCAGTGAACGAATCTATATTCCGCTGAGCAGCTGATTTCGAACGTGCCACACGTCGGCATGAGGTTCGTGCACTCCGGGTGATTTTGAAATAAATTACGCTGTAGCCGGCTAAAAAATAAATTACGAAGCCGGATATAAACACAAACTGCTGAAAAGCATATCCAGCTGGCTTTAAGCTTGAGGAGAAAATTTGAATACTCGACATTGTCGGCAAAGTCGAGCAATCAAAGCGTGATATTCCGTACCCAATCGACGGATTATACGCGTGAAGGCTAAGTGGGCGTGCTGCAGTGTATCATTTTACTATCATTACCCTTTCACTTTAAAAATAGAGAGATGACGTAAGTGAATATGTCTTTGCTCCCGCACATCACTCTGTTGTGCTGTGATGAGAGGAATATTAGTTTACTGTATTGTAAGGCTGCTGCAAGTTTTCCTCCGGTAGGGAAGCTTTAAGAGTAAACCCACCGGGCCACTTCATACCGTGCTGCATTTATAGGTTGAAGAGGGTTCGTAGTTACTGCGTCAACACCGCACCACCTTAGTGTATCTCTATTTTGAAAGAACTCTAGCGGAGCTACACAGCTCCTTGAGTCAGAGGAAAACGAGCAACTAAGTCCTAAAGAACTTGACTCGATGAGTCAACAAGCGTAAAGCTTATGGCCCTTGTTCCAGGGGACCAAACGATTCAGTGGATCGACAGCACTTAGTGCTCAAGTGTAACGGGGCGCCCTGAAGCTTGTACTGGTGACAGTACATGTAACGGGGTGAATCGTTACATAACAATTTATAAGAAATTGTTAATAGAATATAACAATAAGAGTTATATTCTCAGAATATTGTCATAAGGACAAATATTCTGTAGCACTTACGAGTAGTTCCTAATTGGTTGATATAGGCCATTATATCAACCAACGAAGACGCGCCACGACAGACGCACGCAATGAGTGGTGAGCAGATAACTGATTTACACATTTGTATTTAGACATAGTTAGATGAAGATAAATAGTGATTTATTGCAGACATTAACTATTATAGATACAGTTCTACTTTTTACTTTAACCAAGTACTCGCTTCTTCTTACCGTCTTCCTCTGCACGTACCAGTGTACGTGAAGTTACGAGGCACCGCCTTATTCTGTCATCAGAATAAGTAGCTTGTACTGTCACCAGTACAAGCTTCAGGGTGCCCCGTTACACCTGGTAGCACTTTGTAGTCCGTCCAAGGACCGCGTTCACATCCAATATGAATATGTTGGATGATGAAGATGACCAAAGCTTTCACGCTACGCGTGACGGCTACTCCCATTTGAGCGATGTCGAATGGGATGCGGTTGAACGAATGGGTTCGACCATGGGCATCCATGCTGTTAGCGTCATGCTAGAGGCTCTCAATAGAGATGCCCAACATGCTACTATCGCCAAGTTCATTCAAAATGAACTTGACGCAGAACGCGAGAAAGTAGCCTTGCTTCGCCAACAAGGTTCTCAACAAGCAGAGTTGTTGAGAGAACAGGGTGCTCAACAGTTTGAACTGTTGAGACAGCAGCAGGCTGCTGCTGGTGGGTCGATGCACTCGCGTCGACCCGAAACTTTGAAGATTGACATCTCCAAGTATAGGGGGGTCGAAGAAGACTCCCTCTTGAGATTGTTCGTCGAATTGGATGACGCCATAAGGGCGCGTCGCATCGACGACGGGGATATGCAAGTTGCATTTGCCCAGTCAAATCTGGCAGGACGTGCCAAGACTTGGGCTTTGGGACTCAAGTTGCACGACCCATATGCGTTTGGGTCGTTATAAGTCTTCAAGTCGCGGCTCAGACAAACGTTTGAACCGCCTAGAGCTGAGTTCAGAGCTCTAAACGAACTCTTGAAGCTCAAGCAGGGTAAGCGTGATGTGCACGCTTACGCTCAACATATACGACATCTCACGAGTTGTATAAGTTCCAATCCGGTGGATGAACACACGTTGGTTTCGGTGTTCATGCAGGGTCTTGCGGATGGTCCCGTCAAGACTCACCTGTTCCGGCTTGAACTAGATTAACTAGAACAAGCCATTTCCATTGCGGAGCAGGAAGACTTCAGTCTGAGACAGGCTCGCGCCAGCTCGACATCATATCGTCAACCGAGACGATATGACAACGGAGGTCCAGAGCCGATGGAACTCTGTTATGTAGAGAGCTAGAAGGCTCGCTCTATAGGCTACAAGAAGTTGCAGAGATGCAACAGATGTCAAAAGACAGGACACTACGCTTATGAGTGTAGTGCCCCTCGTCCAGTGTCTCGCGACACTGGGCGTAGTGACCGTCCACCCATGAGAAAGGGGCAGGGACGAGGGTCCGCAGTTGGTGCAAAGACGCAACAACGGGATAGACCGTCAAAAAACGGACAGGATCAGTAGGTGCGGAGCACCCTGCTGGTCCAGCAACGTCAAGAGAATTTGTAGGCCTCTTGATGAAGGTTGATCCCAACACACAAACATTGTGCGTTGCTGCTCTAGGTAATGAGGTCTCACTCATTACCTTGAAACTCGAAGTAACGAATAAGTTGTCCCTTCGAGCTCTAGTCGATTGTGGGGCGTCCAACAATTTTGTGCGACGCCAATCGCTAGAAGATGGTCACTTTGAGTTCAGTGAATGTGACACACCTCCTACGAGGATGACGGTACGTCTTGCGACAGGCGCATCCGTAACCGTCATGAAGCGTATAGTGAAGATCCACTATACGATAGAAGATACCCAATATGACGATGACTTTATCGTATTGGATTTGGATGACAAATTTGATGTCATCCTTGGAATACCGTGGCTCAGAAGGTACGAACCACGGGTAAACTGGCAACATCGAACAGTAACGATGCCTGTCGCTTGTTCATCAGATGGCCATCTGATGAACGTTTTGGAGCGTCCACAAGCGTGTGGATGTACTACGAGTGAGTGCGATGGCCTCACTTGTGGTACGGTCGTTAGTACGACTGCACAAAACCTTAGTGTACCAAACGGTTACAATTCGGAGCAAAGTTCCGGCGGCTGTGAGGAAAAAACAGGCTGCGCCGAAGGTCCACCACTCGAATAAGTCGGGTGGACTGGGACAAAGATGTATCCCTAGCGGGGAACATCTAGAAGAGAAACAATCGATCGCTCAGGTTAAGCGAAACGATAATCCTAGATCGACTGGAGAGTCTTTCGTAGAGGATCTCGCTGTGGTTGCGCAACCCCAGCTAGAGGAAGTAAAGGGAATAAGTCCCAAGATTACAAATACGGCGGAAATAAGTTCCCCGAAACCCGCGGGAATAAGTCCCCGGGAAGCCGAAGGAATAAGTCCTTCGAAGCCTGAGGGAATAAGTCCCCAGGAAATGACAGAGACATTGAATGTCATAGTCAATGACGGATCAAGTGTAGGCGCTTATACACTTGATCTGATTGCGCCTCCGAAGTTGACTTCGGAGATCACTCAGTTGCCAACGCTCGAACATAAAAGGTTCTTGCGTGATCTGCGTAGTGGCAAAGTCAAGCAGATCTGCGTACTCGTCGCTGACGACGAGTGTGTAGCCGACATAAGGTCAGCAACAGTGTTTACTGAGAACGAGAGAGTTCTCAGTAGTTCATCTATGGACGAGAGTGTCCTAGATGAAAAGACACGAGTTGAGCGATATGACTCCCAATCGTGGGAATCGCTCAAGACAAATCCTCTCTATGAAGATTTGGTTGAATTCGAGGATGTATTCCCTGAAACTGTTCCGTGCGAATTACCGAAGGATAAAGGTATTCGACACGAGGTCGAGCTTAAACCAGGATCGAAGTACTGTGTCATGAAGCAGTGGCCACTGCCTCGTGAACAAGTACTTGCGATCGACAAGTTCTTTGCCGATCGCTTAGCTGCGGGCCATGTGAGGGAATCAACTTCCCCACATAGCTCTCCGACCTTCTGTGTGCGAAAATCAACAGGAGGGTGGCGGATAGTGCATGCATTTAACAAGTTGAATGCTGCAACGGTACCGGCTCAGACGCCGATACCAAGGAAGGACGTAATCATAGATGGTATGTCAAAGAGTACCATCTTTTCGTCCATGGATTTGATGGATGGCTTCTATCGAATCCTTATGCGAGAATGGGATATACCCTATACCGCAGTTAGCACACCTAGCGGCATGCTCTGGGAATGGCTAGTAATGCCACAAGGGTTATTAATGCCCCTGCCACGTTCAACAGATGTGTATCACATCTGTTGAGACCAGTACGAGAATTCGCGCCGAGTTATTTCGATGAATTATTCATCAATAGTCGGGCTATGGATGGAAAGTCGGACGTTGAGGTTCACAGGTACCACGTCCGACAGGTTCTTACAATCATGCAAAAGCATCAATTGTATGCTAACCTCAAGAAGTGTATATTTGCAGCAAGCGAAATACCACTTCTTGGGTGCATCGTTGGTAAGAACGGTGTACGTCCTGATCCCGATAAGATCAAGGCGATCACCGACTGGCCTGTGTCAGTTGATGTCAAAGGTCTTCGAAAATTCCTTGGGCTAGCGGCGTATTTGCAAAAGTATTCACGCAATTACGCCGAGATGACTGTACACCTCTCTCGTTTGTTGAAAAAGAACGAGAGGTGGTTATGGAACGCTGAATGTCAGCGCTCCTTTGATGGTATTTAGCAGAGCTTGATACAATCCCCAGTCCTAGCAATAGCCGATCAGGACAGGCCATTTCATGTGGTCTGTGATGCCAGCGATTTCGCAATCGGCTGTGCATTAATGCAGTACGACCTAGAAGGCGTTGAACGCGTCGTCTGCTATCAGTCGCGTCAGCTGCAACCAGCTGAGCGGAACTATCCAGTGCATGACAAGGAATTCCTTGCCATGAAGTATGCACTCGCGAAGTTCAGAGCCTATCTATTAGGAGATAGACCCTTCATTGTTTACACTGACCATGCGTCATTACGCACGGCAGTGAACAGCCCGCACCTTTCACAACGAATGGCGCGGTGGTTGTCATTCTTTGCAGAATACAACTTTACGGTCGAGCACAAACCAGGACGACTTAATGTCGTCGCTGATGCACTCTCACGTCGTCCCGACTTTGAAACAGTCGCGAAACCCAACAGTGAGACAGTCACTGTTGCGGTTATGACTTCCTCAGTCCCATCTACAACGTTGCATGATGATGTGAGGCGGGCATACGCCCAAGATGGTGAGATTGTGAAGTTGTTGACACATCTCTCCCAACCATCTCGAGAATCGTTGAAACGATTGTCGCCTGCGTATCGATCTGCATCAGATCGATACACTACTTGTAACGGGTTACTGTATTATACAGCCGTTTCTGGTGACACACCACGTGTTGTCATTCCAGATGATACTGATCTGCGTTTGCGGATCATGTTCGAGTATCAAGATGCTCCTATAGGAGGACATCGTGGCCGAGAGAAAACACATCTCACGGTAAGTCGAGACTTTTACTGGCCCCGCCAGTATCAGTTTGTGCGAAGTATGTTCGCGCATGCGAAGTCTGTCAACGAGTGAAGTCAAGTCCTTCACTGCGTGCACCATTACAGCCTCTACCGGTTCCGGCTGAGTGCTGGGAATCCATCTCAATGGATTTTGTCTTCGGGTTACCCAAAGACGCACGCGGGAATACGGGTATTCTCGTATTTGTTGACAGATTCAGCAAAATGGTATACCTCGTGGCTGTACCAGAGACAATCAAGGCAAGTGGCTGTGCTTGTGTCTTTATTGACACCATCTTCCGACTTCATGGGTTGTCCCGTGAACTCGTATCAGACAGAGATCCACGATTCACTGCTGATTTCTGGCGTTCCGTGTTCAAATCACTCGGAACGCACTTGAAGATGTCTACATCTGATCATCCAGAGTCAGATGGTCAGAAGGAATGTGCCAACCGTGTCCTTGAAGAGATACTTCGAGGATACGTACACTCCTTTAAGAGTTGGAGTGAGTTTTTGCTAATGGTAGAGTTTGCCATTAACAACTCGGTGCATGCGTCCACGACACATACACCGTTTTACGTGAATGGCTTGCGCCATCCGCGTGTACCCACCTTACTAGAGTGTAACTCTGGTTTAAGGGGGGAGGGACTCGCGCGAGCAAAAACCGATTTGGTTCACGCTCATCACGCTCTGACGAAGAGGTCATTGCGTTTGATGCCGATATCGATAACATCGATATCGAAGAAGATGATGCCAGTGAGAGTGCGGAAGCCCTCACTGAAGAAAAGGTTGATGTTGCTGCAGTGCGCTCACAGCACACTGAAGCTAACGAGTCATCAGATGAGTTCATACTGGCTCGTGAAACGGTAGTCAGTTTTGTGCAAGACTCCATCGCCGAAGCGGTGGATAAGCAAAAGCAAAACGCTGATAAGAATGGAAGGGCAAACACTCTTTTATTTAATAAAGGTGACTTAGTCCCTTTGTCTACGGTTAATCTACCAAAGCATGTAGTGACTAACTTGGGTAGCAGTAAACTACTACCCAAGTACATCGGCCCATTTCGTGTATTGCACCGCCTAGGCAATGCATACACGATCGAGTTACCACGTAAGATGCGAACGCATCCCACGTTTTACGTTGGTCGGCTTAAGCCGTACCATCAGTACGCTGCTTCTTCCGATGAAGAACGCCCTTGCGCTCAAGCATCTCGCAGAGAGCCTTGTGCTCCCGATGGTGGGCATCAACAAGGGTATGAAGAGCAGCTATCTCATCCCGAGACCGATCAACAATCCCACGAGCTACGCTTAGATCGTCACGGAGAGATGTCAGAGATCTCTCGTTCTCAAGCTGAGCAAAGGCAAACTCAGCTCGATGCTTCAAGACAGTGTCCGCCATTTGGAGACGCCTGTCCCGCTCATGTTCGAGATCGTCGCGTAACCCTTGCGTTACGCGATCAAAGAAGCTCTCGGGAACACACCGATTCACATGATTGTGTGGAGAGCGTCTTTCCTCCTCCTCCACCTCCATTAGAGGACTCTCGCGGTGGCCAGCGCTATCTAGTTGAGCAGCTGTTGAACCACCGCGCTGTGAACGACGCGTCGTGACGACGAGTTATATCGTCCGGTGGCGCGGCTATCCTCCCCCGTCCTGGGATTCTTGGGAGCCCCGCTCCCAACTGATGATCGACGTACTGGGTCTGGTTGAGCAGTACGACGCGGCACATCCTGTGCCGCAGAAGGACCGCCGGAGAAGGTCTTCCCGGCACGGTCGTAAAGGGATTTCAGGTTGTCAATCCCCTTCGTACATCTCAGTAGAGATACGTACGCCACCACGGGCTATTAGGAAGGTAAGCCTCCTTAGGTCTCGTGCAGAGTTCACACAACATGGGCACGAGTCTCCCAGAGAGGCAGGGTAATCCTTTCTCCCCTGACAGACGATGCAGCTTGTAGCGTGCACCTGTCGGGGTCGCTTTTCAAACTTATCACGAGCTTTGATAAGTTTGTCGTCCTCAGCGTCACGACCTACATCCTCAAGGTTATGGATGTGGCGTTCCGACCCTGAAGCAGTGAGGGACCATCACGCTTGTGATTCCCACTGTACCATCGATGTCTAAAGAAAGCATCGATGAAGAACTCATTCTCAGCGCGATAGTTTTTCGTGCTGGGGTCAAGGTGATGGATCCTTGACGAATCGAACAATCGTGTTCGATAACGGGTCACTCGTCGACGACAAGTGATCCATGACGTATTGGAGGCATCCATGCCTTCTTGGAGAGCGAGACGCAACACATTGCAGGTCCCGCTCTTCACGACGTGCCGACAGAAGTACTGGCACCTCGCTGTGAAGTGGTGTCCATAGGAGAACCGACACCACTATTAGCGTCCGAGTCTCGCGACCTCGAGCGCCTACGCTTCGGCGATGGTTCATCTGATTCATCAGATGAACCAAAGATGCTGCGACGCAAAGCATCATCCATGCCACGCTTGGCAGGCGGCTTGGATCGCCGTCGATACGGATCCGTCATCCGTATCAGGAGAGTACGAGACACCGATCTCGTACTCGTGAAGACACGAGTTTTCATGACCAGCGCCTGCATCACCAAGTGACACAGGCTGGGTCGCTTCAGCAACCGATGAGACATCAGTTGCTGTGGTTTCAGCTTCGGCGTCCGCACAGAGACGTGTGGACGCGCTCGTTTTCGCATGGGCTTGTTAACCATGCATGAGATGTGGAAAGTGGACTCGGACCAACAAGTGCAAACCCTGTCCCCAATGATTTGGGACGAGTATCCATTTAGTCAATCAGTCACTAAAGTGACTGATGGTTAGGGGGGTGATGTAACGGGTGGAATCGTTACATAACAATTTATAAGAAATTGTTAATAGAATATAACTATAAGAGTTACATTCTCAGAATATTGTCATAAGGACAAATATTTCTGTAGCACTTACGAGTAGTTCCTAATTGGTTGTATAGGCCAATATATCAACCCGAAGACGCGCCATCGACAGACGCACGCAATGAGTGGTGAGCAGATAATTGATTTACACATTTGTATTTAGCACATAGTGAAGATGAATATAAATAGTGATTTATTGCAGACATTAACTATTATAAATACAGTTCTACTTTTTAAGTTACGAGGCACCGCCTTATTCTGTCATCAGAATAAGTAGCTTGTACTGTAACGGGGCACCCTGAAGCTTGTACTAGTGACAGTAACGGGGCACCCTGAAGCTTGTACTGGTGACAGTACAGGCTACTTATTCTGATGACAGAATAAGGCGGTGCCTCGTAACTTCACGTACACTCGTACGTGCAGAGGAAGACGGTAAGAAGAAGCGAGTACTTGGTTAAAGTAAAAAGTAGAACTGTATTTATAATAGTTAATGTCTGCAATAAATCACTATTTATCTTCATCTAACTATGTCTAAATACAAATGTGTAAATCAGTTATCTGCTCACCGCTCATTGCGTGCGTCTGTCGTGGCGCGTCTTCGTTGGTTGATATAATGGCCTATATCAACCAATTAGGAACTACTCGTAAGTGCTACAGAATATTTGTCCTTATGACAATATTCTGAGAATGTAACTCTTATAGTTATATTCTATTAACAATTTCTTATAAATTGTTATGTAACGATTCACCCCGTTACATCACCCCCTTAACCATCAGTCACTTTAGTGACTGATTGACTAAATGGATACTCGTCCCAAATCATTTGGGACAGGGTTTGCACTTGTTGGTCCGCGTCCACTTTCCAACATCTCATCGCATGGTTAACAAGCCCATGCGATGCGCGAGCAAGGCCGCCGAGAGCGCGTCCGCACGTCTCTGTGCGGACGCCGAAGCAGAAACCACAGCAACTGATGTCTCATCGGTTGCTGAAGCGACCCAGCCTGTGTCACTTGGTGATGCAGGCGCTGGTCATGAAGACACTCATGTCTTCACAGAGTACGAGCTCGGTGTCTCGTACTCTCCTGATACGGAAGACGGATCCGTATCGACGGCGATCGAATCCAAGCCGCCTGCCAAGCGTGGCATGGATGATGCTTTGCGTCGTAGCATCTTTGGTTCATCTGATGAATCAGATGAACCATCGCCGAAGCGTAGGCGCTCGAGGTCGCGAGACTCGGACACTAATAGTGGTGTCGGTTCTCCTATGGACACCACTTCGCAACGAGGTGCCAGTACTTCTGTCGGCACACCGCAGGAAGAGCGGGACCGCAATGCGTTGCGTCTCGCTCCTGAGAAGAAGGCATGGATGCCTCGAAAATACGTCATGGATCACTTGTCGTCGACGACGAGTGATCGTTATCGAACACGATTGTTCGATTCGTCAAGGATCCATCACCTTGACCCCAGCGCGAAAAACTATCGCGCTGAACATGAATTCTTCATCGATGCTTTCTTTAGACATCGATGGTACAGTGGGAATCACAAACGCGATGGTCCCTCACTGCTTCAGGCGTGGAACGCCTACATCCATAACTTTGAGGATGTAGGTCGTGACGCTTGGAACGACAAACTTATCAAAGCTCGTGATAAGTTTGAAAAGCGAACCCCGACAGGTGCACGCTACAAGCTGCATCGTCTGTCAAGGGAGAAAGGATTACCCTGCCTCTCTTGGGGAGACTCGTGCCCATGTTGTGTGAACAACTCTGCACGAGCACCTAAGGAGGCTTACCTCCCTAATAGCCCGTGGTGGCGCGTACGTATCTCTACTGAGATGTACGAAGGGATTGACAACCTGAAATCCCTTTACGACCGTGCCGGGAAGACTTTCTCCGGCGGTCCTTCTGCGGCACAGGATGTGCCGCGTCGTACTGCTCAACCAGACCCAGTACGTCGATCATCAGTTGGGAGCGGGGCTCCCAAGAATCCCAGGACGGGGGATAGCCGCGCCACCGGACGATATAACTCGTCCGACGTCCGTTCACGTCGCGGTGGTTCAACAGCTGCTCAACTAGATAGCGCTGGCCACCGCGAGAGTCCTCTAATGGAGGTGGAGGAGGAGGAAAGACGCTCTCCACACAATCATGTGGATCGGTGTGTTCCCGAGAGCTTCTTTGATCGCGTAACGCAAGGGTTACGCAACGATCTCGAACATGAGCGGGACAGGCGTCTCCAAATGGCGGACACTGTCTCGAAGCATCGAGCTGAGTTTGCCTTTGCTCAGCTTGAGAACGAGAGATCTCTGACATCTCTTCGTGACGAGCTAAGGGTAGCTCGTGGGATTGTTGATCGGTCTCGGGATGAGATAGCTGCTCTTCAGACCCTTGTTGATGCCCACCATCGGGAGCACAAGGCTCTCTGCGAGATGCTTGAGCGCAAGGGCGTTCTTCATCGGAAGAATCAGCGTACTGATGGTACGGCTTAAGCCGACCAACGTAAAACGTGGGATGCGTTCGCATCTTACGTGGTAACTCGATCGTGTATGCATTGCCTAGGCGGTGCAATACACGAAATGGGCCGATGTACTTGGGTAGTAGTTTACTGCTACCCAAGTTAGTCACTACATGCTTTGGTAGATTAACCGTAGACAGTAGGACTAAGTCACCTTTATTAAATAAAAGAGTGTTTGCCCTTCCATTCTTATCAGCGTTTTGCTTTTTGCTTATCCACCGCTTCGGCGATGGAGTCTTGCACAAAACTGACTACCGTTTCACGAGCCAGTATGAACTCATCTGATGACTCGTTAGCTTCAGTGTGCTGTGAGCGCACTGCAGCAACATCAACCTTTTCTTCAGTGAGGGCTTCCGCACTCTCACTGGCATCATCTTCTTCGATATCGATGTTATCGATATCGGCATCAAACGCAATGACCTCTTCGTCAGAGCGTGATGAGCGTGAACCAAATCGGTTTTTGCTCGCGCGAGTCCCTCCCCCTTAAACCAGAGTTACACTCTAGTAAGGTGGGTACACGCGGATGGCGCAAGCCATTCACGTAAAACGGTGTATGTGTCGTGGACGCATGCACCGAGTTGTTAATGGCAAACTCTACCATTAGCAAAAACTCACTCCAACTCTTAAAGGAGTGTACGTATCCTCGAAGTATCTCTTCAAGGACACGGTTGGCACATTCCTTCTGACCATCTGACTCTGGATGATCAGATGTAGACATCTTCAAGTGCGTTCCGAGTGATTTGAACACGGAACGCCAGAAATCAGCAGTGAATCGTGGATCTCTGTCTGATACGAGTTCACGGGACAACCCATGAAGTCGGAAGATGGTGTCAATAAAGACACAAGCACAGCCACTTGCCTTGATTGTCTCTGGTACAGCCACGAGGTATACCATTTTGCTGAATCTGTCAACAAATACGAGAATACCCGTATTCCCGCGTGCGTCTTTGGGTAACCCGAAGACAAAATCCATTGAGATGGATTCCCAGCACTCAGCCGGAACCGGTAGAGGCTGTAATGGTGCACGCAGTGAAGGACTTGACTTCACTCGTTGACAGACTTCGCATGCGCGAACATACTTCGCACAAACTGATACTGGCGGGGCCAGTAAAAGTCTCGACTTACCGTGAGATGTGTTTTCTCTCGGCCACGATGTCCTCCTATAGGAGCATCTTGATACTCGAACATGATCCGCAAACGCAGATCAGTATCATCTGGAATGACAACACGTGGTGTGTCACCAGAAACGGCTGTATAATACAGTAACCCGTTACGAGTAGTGTATCGATCTGATGCAGATCGATACGCAGGCGACAATCGTTTCAACGATTCTCGAGATGGTTGGGAGAGATGTGTCAACAACTTCACAATCTCACCATCTTGGGCGTATGCCCGCCTCACATCATCATGCAACGTTGTAGATGGGACTGAGGAAGTCATAACCGCAACAGTGACTGTCTCACTGTTGGGTTTCGCGACTGTTTCAAAGTCGGGACGACGTGAGAGTGCATCAGCGACGACATTAAGTCGTCCTGGTTTGTGCTCGACCGTAAAGTTGTATTCTGCAAAGAATGACAACCACCGCGCCATTCGTTGTGAAAGGTGCGGGCTGTTCACTGCCGTGCGTAATGACGCATGGTCAGTGTAAACAATGAAGGGTCTATCTCCTAATAGATAGGCTCTGAACTTCGCGAGTGCATACTTCATGGCAAGGAATTCCTTGTCATGCACTGGATAGTTCCGCTCAGCTGGTTGCAGCTGACGCGACTGATAGCAGACGACGCGTCCAACGCCTTCAAGATCGTACTTCATTAATGCACAGCCGATTGCGAAATCGCTGGCATCACAGACCACATGAAATGGCCTGTCCTGATCGGCTATTGCTAGGACTGGGGATTGTATCAAGCTCTGCTAAATACCATCAAAGGAGCTCTGACATTCAGCGTTACATAACCACCTCTCGTTCTTTTTCAACAAACGAGAGAGGTGCACAGTCATTTCGGCGTAATTGCGTGAATACCTATGCAAATACGCCGCTAGCCCAAGGAATAATCGAAGACCTTTGACGTCAACCGGCACAGGCCAGTCGGTGATCGCCTTGATCTTTTCGGGATCAGGACGTACACCGTTCTTACCAACGATGCACCCAAGAAGAGGTATTTCGCTTGCTGCAAATATACACTTCTTGAGGTTAGCATACAATTGATGCTTTTGCATGATTGTAAGAACCTGTCGGACGTGGTACCTGTGAACCTCAACGTCCGACTTTCCATCCATAGCTCGACTATGGATGAATACGTCATCGAAATAACTCGGCGCGAATTCTCGTATTGGTCTCAACAGATGTGTATCACATCTGTTGAACGTGGCATGGGCATTACTAACCCTTGTGGCATTACTAGCCATTCCCAGAGCATGCCGCTAGGTGTGCTAACTGCGGTATAGGGTATATCCCATTCTCGCATAAGGATTCGATAGAAGCCATTCATCAAATCCATGGACGAAAAGATGGTACTCTTTGACATACCATCAATGATTACGTCCTTCCTCGGTATCGGCGTCTGAGCCGGTACCGTTGCAGCATTCAACTTGTTAAATGCATGCACTATCCGCCACCCTCCTGTTGCTTTTCGCACACAGAAGGTCGGAGAGCTATGTGGGGAAGTTGATTCCCTCATATGGCCCGCAGCTAAACGATCGGCAAAGAACTTGTCGATCGCAAGTACTTGTTCACGAGGCAGTGGCCACTGCTTCATGACACAGTACTTCGATCCTGGTTTAAGCTCGACCTCGTGTCGAATACCTTTATCCTTCGGTAATTCGCACGGAACAGTTTCAGGGAATACATCCTCGAATTCAACCAAATCTTCATAGAGAGGATTTGTCTTGAGCGATTCCCACGATTGGGAGTCATATCGCTCAACTCGTGTCTTTTCATCTAGGACACTCTCGTCCATAGATGAACTACTGAGAACTCTCTCGTTCTCAGTGAACACTGTTGCTGACCTTATGTCGGTTACACACTCGTCGTCAGCGACGAGTACGCAGATCTTCTTGACTTTGCCACTACGCAGATCACGCAAGAACCTTTTATGTTCGAGCGTTGGCAACTGATTGATCTCCGAAGTCAACTTCGGAGGCGCAATCAGATCAAGTGTATAAGCGCCTACACTTGATCCGTCATTGACTATGACATTCAATGTCTCTGTCATTTCCTGGGGACTTATTCCCTCAGGCTTCGAAGGACTTATTCCTTCGGCTTCCCGGGGACTTATTCCCGCGGGTTTCGGGGAACTTATTTCCGCCGTATTTGTAATCTTGGGACTTATTCCCTTTACTTCCTCTAGCTGGGGTTGCGCAACCACAGCGAGATCCTCTACGAAAGACTCTCCAGTCGATCTAGGATTATCGTTTCGCTTAACCTGAGCGATCGATTGTTTCTCTTCTAGATGTTCCCCGCTAGGGATACATCTTTGTCCCAGTCCACCCGACTTATTCGAGTGGTGGACCTTCGGCGCAGCCTGTGTTTCCTCACAGCCGCCGGAACTTTGCTCCGAAGTGTAACCGTTTGGTACACTAAGGTTTTGTGCAGTCGTACTAACGACCGTACCACAAGTGAGGCCATCGCACTCACTCGTAGTACACCCACACGCTTGTGGACGCTCCAAAACGTTCATCAGATGGCCATCTGATGAACAAGCGGCAGGCATCGTTACTGTCCGATGTTGCCAGTTTACCCGTGGTTCGTACCTTCTGAGCCACGGTATTCCAAGGATGACATCAAATTTGTCATCCAAATCCAATACGATAAAGTCATCGTCATATTGGGTATCTTCTATCGTATAGTGGATCTTCACTATACGCTTCATGACGGTTACGGATGCGCCTGTCGCAAGACGTACCGTCATCCTCGTAGGAGGTGTGTCACATTCACTGAACTCAAAGTGACCATCTTCTAGCGATTGGCGTCGCACAAAATTGTTGGACGCCCCACAATCGACTAGAGCTCGAAGTAACAACTTATTCGTCACTTCGAGTTTCAAGGTAATGAGTGAGACCTCATTACCTAGAGCAGCAACGCACAATGTTTGTGTGTTGGGATCAACCTTCATCAAGAGGCCTACAAATTCTCTTGACGTTGCTGGACCAGCAGGGTGCTCCGCACCTACTGGTCCATCCCGTTGTTGCGTCTTTGCACCAGCTGCGGACCCTCGTCCCTGCCCCTTTCTCATGGGTGGACGGTCACTACGCCCAGTGTCGCGAGACACTGGACGAGGGGCACTACACTCATAAGCGTAGTGTCCTGTCTTTTGACATATGTTGCATCTCTGCAACTTCTTGTAGCCTATAGAGCGAGCCTTCTAGCTCTCTACATAACAGAGTTCCATCGGCTCTGGACCTCCGTTGTCATATCGTCTCGGTTGACGATATGATGTCGAGCTGGCGCGAGCCTGTCTCAGACTGAAGTCTTCCTGCTCCGCAATGGAAATGGCTTGTTCTAGTTAATCTAGTTCAAGCCGGAACAGGTGAGTCTTGACGGGACCATCCGCAAGACCCTGCATGAACACCGAAACCAACGTGTGTTCATCCACCGGATTGGAACTTATACAACTCGTGAGATGTCGTATATGTTGAGCGTAAGCGTGCACATCACGCTTACCCTGCTTGAGCTTCAAGAGTTCGTTTAGAGCTCTGAACTCAGCTCTAGGCGGTTCAAACGTTTGTCTGAGCCGCGACTTGAAGACTTATAACGACCCAAACGAATATGGGTCGTGCAACTTGAGCCCCAGTGCCCAAGTCTTGGCACGTCCTGCCAGACTTGATTGGGGAAATGCAACTTGCATATCCCTATCGTCGATGCGACGCGCCCTTATGGCGTGATCCAATTCGACGAACCATCTCAAGAGGGAGTCCTCTTCGACTCCCCTATACTTGGAGATGTCAATCTTCAAAGTCTCGGGTCGACGCGAGTGCATCGACCCACCAGCAGCAGCCTGCTGCTGTCTCAACAGTTCAAACTGTTGAGCACCCTGTTCTCTCAACAACTCTGCTTGTTGAGAACCTTGTTGGCGAAGCAAGGCTACTTTCTCGCGTTCTGCGTCAAGTTCATTTTGAATGAACTTGGCGATAGTAGCATGTTGGGCATCTCTATTGAGAGCCTCTAGCATGACGCTAACAGCATGGATGCCCATGGTCGAACCCATTCGTTCAACCGCATCCCATTCGACATCGCTCAAATGGGAGTAGCCATCACGCGTAGCGTGAAAGCTTTGGTCATCTTCATCATCCAACATATTCATGTTAGATGTGAACGCGGTCCTTGGACGGACTACAAAGTGCTACCAGGTGTAACGGGGCGCCCTGAAGCTTGTACTGGTGACAGTACAAGCTACTTATTCTGATGACAGAATAAGGCGGTGCCTCGTAACTTCACGTACACTGGTACGTGCAGAGGAAGACGGTAAGAAGAAGCGAGTACTTGGTTAAAGTAAAAAGTAGAACTGTATTTATAATAGTTAATGTCTGTTAATAAATCACTATTTATCTTCATCTAACTATGTCTAAATACAAATGTGTAAATCAGTTATCTGCTCACCACTCATTGCGTGCGTCTGTCGTGGCGCGTCTTCGTTGGTTGATATAATGGCCTATATCAACCAATTAGGAACTACTCGTAAGTGCTACAGAATATTTGTCCTTATGACAATATTCTGAGAATGTAACTCTTATAGTTATATTCTATTAACAATTTCTTATAAATTGTAATGTACTGATTCACCCCGTGACATCAAGAGTAACTAGCTACTTCAAAGAGCTGTTGCTAACTCTTAGTGATCAGTGATCAACGACCAAAGACGCCTCGAAAGACACGTGTCTTCAAGATCAAAAGGGGCCTGAATTTTTGATTGCATTCAAACCTATAGAATATCTTAAAAATTAAGTTAGTACAACTAAGATCTCTCCTCTCTGGTGGCTGACACCAGTCAGCCCCTATAAACCGGTTAAGATATTCTAAATGTGGTGGAGTGGCGATCGCTTATTTTATGAGGCGACCCCGGCTCTCCACAAGTGCCCAGACGACCGACTATCGGAGAGGTACTCCGTTTCCGTGCCTTGTAATTACTTCCATACCTTGCGTAACCGTCGGTACGGCCGGCTACACTCTTCTCGGTGGACTTGTGTCGATAGAAAACGTGACCGTGTCTATAATGGGTTGGTGTGATCGGGCGGAAATCTTCGCGTGATCACGGAGTACTTAAAGGGTGTTTGATAAAAGTCACCCGGATCTCAACGAGATCGCCTTGTCCACTGTGTGGATGCTTGGTACGCGAAACTTCTGACCACTTGATCCGTCTCCTGATCTTGCGTCTTGTCCTTTGTGTTCTTGCTGCGTCCGACCGCAATTAGGGGGGGGTGAGAATTCTTGATCCCCAGCCAATGATCTGGGGACATCACTTGGTTTTAGTATACGTGACTGTCTTTACGTCGGGAGGCCAATATTCCAGCCCGGAAGAGAAGTATACGCGTGTACTTTGAAGCAAATAGAATTCTGTTTAATGTCAACCAACCCAAAGCTAAGACTATGACTATGTCTGTCTATATGCTAGGATGTTCTGCCACGTGTCCTCTATCTTTCGGTGGTTGATCTTAGCACGTGTGGACCACTTCAGACAGATCGCCGATCTCTTCAGTCGCCATTCTCCCCGAATGCGATCTCTTCGATCGATCTTCGATCTCTTTGGCCGATCGCTGATCGTCGATCTTCTTGGCCGATCACTGAACGTCGATCTCCTTGGCCGATCACTGATCGTCGATCTTCTTGGCCGATCACTGATCTGTCCGATCGTTGATCTATACTATCGTTGATCTCCTCGATAGTCGATCTCCTTGATCAATTTGTCTTCTTGATCGATCTCGATATCTTCGACCGGTTGTCGATCGCTTTCCAGGATCTTAATCTCTGCCTATCTGTCAGCCATTTCCCCGACCTTGAACTTTTTATACTTCATCAATCTCGGTACCTTGGCTGGATCTTTGTAACTTGACATTCGATCCCATTGTCGTGATATTTAGTTGCGTTATTGCAATATTCACTCTCGGTATCGTGGTATTCGATCTCGATACTGTGATATTCGATCTCAGTATTGCGCCTCTTATCATCCAATCAATCCCTCTCAATGTCGCCGTTGGGGATCATACCCTTTATCGATCGCTCTTTCTTCCAAAATTGCTCCACTACATAAATCTCTTTCGTTGGGATATTATCCGTGTGTCTAAGACACAGGGTACCAAGTACCCAACTACGTGTAATTCCTTATCACCCTCCCCCACCAGACTGACGTTTACCCAAACGTCAATCGGACCTTGTTCTTATCGAACGTTCCATTAGAACTCTGATCTTCTACGAGGTCATGTGCTTGCGATTCACCTCACGGTACCGTAATGCTTAGTACGATGTCCTCATCACTATACGATTCAAAAACTCTCAATGACTACCTCAGTATGGGGGAGGGAGTGGACTATGGTAGCGATACCAGTGTCCCGGTGATGCAGAGACAATGTCCGATACACCCATGTTCGAGGTACAACCTCGGACTGCCCCTTTCCGTTCTCTGAACGTAGTAATAAAAATTTGCCGTTGGCGCCACGCTTAACACTCTGTTCGGATGATACCGTCATCGCGAACCCGCTCGATGAGCAGCAAGAATTACGTGTTAAACAAGGAGAAAGCTTTCGACGCCATGCGCGAATTGTTGCAACCCTCAAGCGCCGTCGTGACTATGTATTCACTTCACCCAGTGTGGATGAACACTTATGCCAAGCGGCCGGAAAAACGTTGGCAACGTGGATCATTGCCATAGGCCTAAGTCTCCTGAGGAGGTGGCGAGCTGCCAGGCACTTTGTGAGAGATACCTGGAGCCTCAACTAACGACCCAAGGTCAATACAAGGCATGCCTTAACATGCAAGCCCGTGGTGCACCGGTCCCACCGATCAAGGGTATACCCATTCTATTGGTCGCAGGCGAAACAGTGAGCGAAGAAGACAATGCCTTCGTCCACGGGGTGCACCGCACACGTCGCCTTAGCAGTATGTCTAACCTAAGAGCTAGCGCCATTGTGGCTGATGTGCGTCTCGGACGCAAGCTTCGGTATGACTATGCAAAGCTTAAGGCTAGAGGCCAATTGCGTAATCACACGCGAAATACTTCGGCTACTACGGTAGCCGCGAGTGTTGTTCAAATTATGACCACTAAACTGCCAAACCACATTAAAGTGGTGGGAATCGTCCTTGGTATCAAGATGACCTTGGCAACGATGTTTAAAAACGTCCGGATTATAAGGGCAATCTTGCCGTAGAGGTAACTCGTATCCCCCTGAGTTCTCAGACTCATGGTACCCACGCCACTTTACCAGATACTGGTATTGGCCATTCAGACGACGTCGTATCAGTAGTCTCTCGACATGAAACTGTTGAAACCCAAGTTCATCTAGAAGCGTCGGTGGTGGCCGGTGTACCGGTGGCAGTCCACGATAAATTGGTTCTCGACGAGAAGGGTCTTCAAGAGACCTTAGGTAAGACCCAATGCATATTTCGTGTGATGCAGAGCCGCCTTCAGGCGATGGAGCGTGCTCAAGCTCGGAGCGAGGCTCAGTTGGACTCGCTAATTCGCTTGCAGCAATCCGGGGCACCGCCTTCGTCGTCGCCGCCAGCGCCTCAAAGTTCACATGGAAAGTATCCCGGTACGGCATAAGTAAGCCTACGTAGGACACAAGGTGTGCGCGCAATTTTCGTGGAAGTTTGAGCGTATGCGCCAGGTTTTTCTTGGCAGTAACCGTAAACGGTCTAATCAAGCGTGGGCGCAACTTTGTCTTGAAGACAGCAGACACTACATTTGTAGGTAAGTTTTTGGCATTGAGTAATACTTGTTCTCTGAACTTATAACTTTCACTACAGTTTATGCCTTTGTCTTCAGCTTGTTGTGTTTGTTGATCTTGACTATCAGCCATCGCGTCACGCTCATTTCGTAAGACATTTAATCGCGTTGCGAGAAACTCGTCTACCTATTTTTGAGCAGTAGCAGGGCTAATATCAGCAAGCCGATCGGCAACCTCTCCCCCACCAAGCTTTAAACCACAGAGTGGTAGCATTAATGGAATGCGAGGGTGGGTGAGACCGTTTACGCAAAATGGAGTGGAGTCTGTGGAGGCATGAAAAACAATTTTAAACGCAAATTCAACAACGGGTACCGTTGAGCTTTAACACCGTGGCGTATCAGCGCAAGCACTGCGCAAAGTCGCCCATAAAACAAATAACACGCTCAGTTTGACCATCGATCTGCGGATGATCCGCCCTGGACATATCCAATCGGGTGCCGAGCACCTTGAAGATAGACTTCCAAACCTTACCAGTGAAGCGGGGATCTCTATGAGAGACATTTTTTTACAGGCAAACCATGTTGTCGAGACACCCGGTCGATAAATACTTTGACGTGTCTTCAGCATCAATCGTATCCAGCACAGCCGCTATATGACCCATTTTGCTCAAACGGTCAACAAAGAACACAATTCCAGTGTTGCCTTCCGAATCCTTTGGTATGCCGAACACAAAATCCATACCCATGGACTCCCAACACACAGTGGGTACAGGCAGAAAAGTCAGCGGCGCAGCGGCATGTGCTGCGGGTTTGACCCGTTGACACTTCTTGCACGTACGCACATAGGTGCTCACCTATTTATTTAGTTTAGGCGACCAATAAGCATGGCTCACCGAGCCATAGGTCTTCGCACAACCGAGGTGACCACCTAAATCAGTATTACGTGCCTCATAGAGGATTCGATAATTCAACTTAACATTATGAGGAACAGCGATTCGAGGGGTATCCTCAATATCCGTGCGATATCACAACATGCCATTATCGATAGAACATCGTTGTATCCTTGCACGTAAACGTGCCAGCAATTTTTATGTCCTAGTCTTTGAACTCTTCGCTCCCAAGAGCCCGTAGCAAAGCTACACATTGTTCGTCCTTGGCATAAGCCGCACGGATTAAGTCAGGGACTGATGACGACAGTGTCGTAACGTGAGCAAGCTCATAGTAAGGTCGGCGCGATAGCGCATCAGCCAAGGCATTTTGATTTCCTGGCTTATACTTCACCTCGAAGTTATATTCGGCAAAGAAGGAAAGCCGAAGAGCCATTATCTAAGAGAGATGCGGCAACTGTGTCGCAGTGCGCAATGACGTATAATCTGTATAGATCACAAATGGCTTTGAGCCAAGCAGATGAACTCTGGACTTGA